AAGCAGAATTCTTAAACGTAAAACAATGTTAGATCATTCACTAAGTGGTTCATACTATAGGATGAGCTAGTAAAATTGGTGAAAGTAGATCTGTTAGTGTGTTGTATACTTGGTATTAGGGCACTTTCCATAAAATTAATCCCACCTACGGTGATTTACAGCCTCTACCTTTTATTCCGCTGGAATAGCAAACTTATATATTTATTTTTGGAGGCCATTCCTAGGAATTTAATTGGTCAAAGTATTATACAAGAAAGTTTTTATTATATCTGTATCTTTTTTACCTTTTTAGCTTAGTTTAATACTTAAAGTCGATGTCCTTTTGATCTTAAATGTTTGAGAACATTTCCATACAATAATCTAAATATCATTTGGGGTGTACTTTGTCAGGTGGAAAGAGGTTCCTTTGATAAGGAAAGTCGTTCAATTCAGCTATATGTAATATCAAACATCGGGTGAATTATAAAAGCTTGTTTTAAAGTGTTTTCATGATTCATAGTTTAGACTGAGTTGCGATGGAGGCATCAACAGAAATGGGAAAGATAATTGAAAACATATCTGGCTTCTTTAGACATGCCTATCGAATGGCTTTCAAATACATAATCACTATGTGAAAAAACATTTTTCTAATGTTACACGGCTAAAACTAATTTTCAGGAAGTGCAGGACATACGTTTCTTCATGGTTAGTGATATGGCGAGCAAAACAGGGTAGATTACTTACAGGTTTACGGCACTACATTATAAGTCCAAGTTGCTTATTATAAACAAATGAGCTATTAGTCTAATAATAAACTACAAATATCCATCAACTGAGAAAACTTTATCATCTAGCTTTTGGAAATAAACATTCCGATCCAATTATGGTGTGTTACTACACAGGTGAGTCAATTTAACGTCAGGTAATTGGCACCAGCTAAAACTAGACCACTGAACACAACTGTTTACAATAGCCGGAAAAGGATATGTTCAGTCCCAAACCAAATGATACTCATCACTCTAGATATTAGAATTCGAACTATCGAGTGTCAGTCTCATAGATTTTATTAATGAGCTATTTAGGCTAGAAATAAATTATTGTATGACTGAGATGTCGTTTCTTTTGTATATTAATATCTGCGATCTTGAAGAAGAGACTATAAAACATGACTTTAATATAACTAATTTTACGAAGTTAATCAAAAGTTATCAAAATATCTAGGCCATAACAATCTTATTAGTAATAAGTAGTATTGATGAATAAACTATAATCTATTTACCAAACATTTAAACTAATCAAATTGCAAGTTTTAATTACTGACTTCATTGCTCAGTGTTTAATGATATGTTTATTTTTTTAATGTGTACAGACAGAAATAAACTATCTGCTTTTCAGTTTTCGCTGATTCATTCAAAATGTATGAATCAATGAATACAGCATAGTTACAACAAGAAAAAAATGGAATGAAAACTTATTAAAATTTGACATCTTTATATTCAAGAGCTTTAATTCTTATTTCAGTAAATATTCAGTAGAGTGTTTAGGGAATTATCTCCATCTAGTTTATTTTTATGATTTAAGACATAAATAAAAATGCGAGGAAACTTATTAGAAGTCATCAACATCAGCTACTAAGATGGTATTGAACCTTAATGTGATTCCGATGGGATATATGACATTTTAAGATGATAACACTTTGGTACTAGCTTTAATGTTAGGGTGCGAACTGTGTGAACGATCTACAACCCCATATGGGACCGAACATAATACCTATGTATGTCTCAGCTAGAATGACCTTATTTAGGCACTGAATCAAAATATAGTGATCTATAATTTCTAACCAAAGTCACTTCGCCAGGCGTTCATAGGATATCCTCATTCATTCCCATTGTCTTTGCCTGCCACAGCGTTCTTTTGGGATTCAGTGAATTGCAAGCTGAAGCTATTAACTGCTGTCCTCATATTTATTACCAAGCGTGACAAGGCGTTTTAGATTTTTTTAATAATTTCAAGATAGGTTATAACAATAATCTATTTGAAGTCATATGTAGGCACTACTGAAAAGCTTTAAACTGGAATATACAATAGAAATGCACTTAATATCATCTGTTTCTGGAAAATCACAGGATCATGTAAATAAACACAACACTTTTGGATTACATTCTGTACATATTGAGAATCGTCAATGTAACATTGAAAAGTTATAAGGCACTGGTTAGGTATTTCGTCCTCATATGAAGCCAATCACGACTGCATGAAAAGTACTCTACTAAGTTTTGTGGAGAAGACATTACCTTTAGATTAATGAGTTAGAATCCAATAACCAATACTAATAAAATTAGTCAAAACTGAGGAGTCCTGTTTTAGAGTGGGACAGATGTTCAGTGCTCCTTCATGTTCTATGGTACTCCAGACGATGTAAACCACTGATACATCTGCAAACTGATAAATCTCTACGAACTCACCTAATAATCGTAACATACACTGATAATTGTTAATTGAAGTGGATAACTATTTGATAATGTTGTTCATTGTACTGCGTATAGGTGTTCGTGCAAGTTATGAAATAAAAATGATATGAAGTCAGTAATCAGAGGTGACTATCTGAAGGAAAGTACATTAAAGGATTAATAATAATAATAACTTTTGATAGTGTAACAATAAAACAAGGATCATCAGAACTATGTGATATATTAGTGCAACAATAACTTTCTCCAATGCTATAAATGTTGTTATAGAGCGGAATTTTCTACACTAAATAACGTTAATAACTACAGCATTTCCGTTTGATTTTTCTCATGTTTAGTATTGTAATAGTTTGTAGTCCCTTTATAAAAGCATGTAAGTACATAGAGTTAAGAGTCAAAATTACTACGTCCAAACAAATCTAAAACGTGAAGTTAAATTGAAGTATATTCACAGTTAGAAAAGAGGTGGGTCAAACGCCTGGGCAGGGGGTCTTATTAGTGTACATTATGACAAGAAGTAATGTCTTTGACTAGCTATTAGTTTAGACAAAATTACGATCACTTATAAATCATCCATCCTAATTATTACCTAAGATATCAAGATGATCGAGTATTCATAATAATAATAATAATAATAATAATAATAATAATAATAATAATAATAATAATAATAATAATCGTGTTTATCTATAATTGACATAATAAATGAATAGAAAGCATGGCTATCATGTGAATGTTTACGAGGAAATTATAAATAATTCAATTAAAGCAGTTATATTTATTGCATAATCACTTTTACTCAAGCAAGTGAACACACAAACCTGTATACATACGTTTCACGGAGGTGAATGAGTCAGCACTAGTATCTTTAACATAACAGAAATTTATGTTCAATAATCACCATATACCGAAACTTGATTCTGTAGGTAACACATAAGTGTCTGTTTAAATCTTTAACAAGGTATCATGGAAATGCAATTCACAGGTTTTATGAGATTGTTTTTAATTAATAAGTACGTTTAATAAATCGCTAAACATATTGGTGTATCGTTTTTTGTGTACATATCTACTACTTCTTTCGTAACACACGCAAAAATACAGAAACACTTCAAATTGTGCTTTAAATTATGCATACTTTAAGAGCTATAGAAAACAAACAGTTAAAAATCAATTCATCCATCCCGACAATAATATTCCTTAACAATAAACCATAAAAGTTAGACAACTAATACTTAAATACTTCATATTGACTTTCTAAACGTTTGCAGATCCCCCTTCAGAATTTCTGATACTCGAATCTCGAGCAGTATGGAAAGGATTTCTATTTCCAAGATTAGTTCATGTACAGGACACAAAAACAGTTAGTGGATAACATGTAACTTTAAAATTCTAGAAACTTTTAGAAAACATGTGAAGTCAGAGATGAAATGTCTAAACATTCACTAAAAATAATATAATCCATCGTTATCTAGAATTCGTTTGGAATTTCTATAGAATACCTTTAATTGATAAAAATATTTTCAGTATTTTCCTGTCTTCTGGAGACTTTTTCAGAGTTTTTGGGGTTCCTGATCAAAACTCATTATTTGTACCATGTAGACCTAATAATTATATACGCAGCCATGATTTAGTCCAAACTTATGCTAGTATTGATAACTGAACAAGTTTTATGACTGACTTGTAGTAAGAAACCATTACTGGTAAAGTTTAGTTTATCGCCGATTACAATGGATATTCGTCAAACCGTCTTTAAGAAAACAAAGTCGAATTCACTGATCACTAAATAATAATTCCGTATCATACATGCTAGAAGATTTGAAGGTGTTTGGCAGGATTTGTTGTGAGGTCAAGAGTGGTGCAAAGCTGGTAAGTCCCAAATCAAAATTACTCATACCCGGTTTTCAACAGCATTCCAACTGGTATCAGCCCGTGATAACAACTAGTTTTCAATAGTAATATCCGATTAATGGAATTAATTTGTTTGAAATTATCTTGTCCATTCTCATCATAGCTATGGAATGTATCTCATTTGTATAATTCCAGTAAGTACAATAATACTTTTAGATGTACAGGTTTAAATTATAGAACTTGTACTCCAAATTTTATATGTAACATTTTGTTGTCTATTATCACCACTAACTCTTTGTCAGACTTTGAAGAATAGTTCTGTTGAGTTCAAGCTCAAAAATAGAAAAGATGCAAAGATGAACCGGACTAATTATAAATGAAGCCATTATGATTTAAATACCATTGCAAAACAAACAAGTATCAACAGCGTAGAGCCTGATAAACTATGTGTTTGCCCAAGTTGTCATATCAGATTTGCATAACAAGATGAAATGAACAAGATAATTAGCAAAAGAAATCGAGATGATGTAGTAGTAGGTGGTAAGTGTCAATCGAACTTTCTAGACTACATGAGATTGACTGTCATCAAACACCTAACATTAAAACCGTCCGTTTAGTTTTTTTTCCTCGCCGCATCAATCTTAATGATAATTGTATAATACTCATTATTAATTACAAACTGAAAAAATGTACTATTATTATTACCTGTATTCCAAGATCTGATGCTCGAATTTCGGGATCACATAATTTTTGAACTTTAATTTGTAAGTTACTGAGATCCGTATTCCTTTAAATAATAAAAATATATAAATAAAACAAGATTTTGTATAAAATATTTTCAATTATCCATCAAGGTAAAATTATTAATTTGAAAGTAATAGTTGTTATCAATGTTACTGAAGCTTTTAGATTCTTTTCAAAGGTATGGTACTATTCAGTCATTAAATTTTGAACAGCTAACATCAGTCTATTATGAAAATTAATCTTGATAAATTAGTTTGTTTTGTTTTTAACTTTTCGATCAGATAAATTATTTTTAGTAAATTTCTAATAATAAATTCATATTTTAGAACAGCGGATTTATGGTAAATTACTCAGTATAAAATCACTATTTTTAACCAATCCATTGTAGTTAGTATAGCATTGTGGAAATGGTTGAATTTTGTTGAGATTATGAACCGATTTAAGTTAGATAGTCATTGGGGATTCGGAAGCATTGGACAGGAGTCTCGTCCACGTACGGGACACCTCAGAAGTGTACACCAAAAAGCCCACAACCAGAGATCGAAACTCATAACTCGGGACCCCATACCACCAAGTTGTCTGGAGGTTAGCTGTTCATGTGCGAGATCAAAGGTTCCAACTTTGATAAGTTGTTGTGGGATTGTGGATAATGCACTAATGAGGAATCCCATACTAGGACAAAGTGCATTTCTAATATCCCATGGTTTTTAATCATACTCTCACTGAGATCAATCCATAACAAAATATCAGCGACATATTAAAATAATCTGCATGGAATTATGACATATAAACCACAATCATGCTTTCTTTAATTGGGTACAATTATATGCCTTTTGATGCACTGAAGTTTTGTTAGGGGTAAAAAATTGTCCTCATTAATTTGATATAAATAAATCAACTGACCAAACATTATTCTTTACATATAATTATACTAAAGATGAAAACACAAATAAATAACAATGTGATAAAATCTAATTTTTATAACTTTCCTTTTATGCATGGAAATGATCAGTTTTCAGTATAATAGCTAGGCAGTATGAAATAAAATGTAAACGCTGATTTGAAGGTGAATTCTTATGTCTATTCGAAGTGAGTAGTTTAGTGAGTTTACACTATCTGGAAAATTTCCTCATTTTATCTGACAATAAAACAATTTAGTCTTTGAATATGACATATCTGCTATTTGACAGGCTTATTTATGAATTGATTGACTAAGGTTTATTTGTACTAAGCATAAAAATCAGTTTACACATAGAAATATGCACATTGATGATCATGACAATAATAATAATAATAATAATAATAATAATAATAATATCAGAATGGGGATTTGTGGAGATTGTAGTAGTTTTACGAGTTGAATTCATGAGCCGATCTTAGCTAGACCACAGTTTAGAACCTGGGAGCATTGGACGGCTGTTGCGTCCTAATATGGGTGACTCAGCAGTGGGCATCCACGACCACACGTGTGGGACTCGAACCCGAGACCTTCGGTTTCGCACACAAACTCCTGACCTCTAGACCACTGAGCCGGCATCCAACGGTGTTAATGTTCTGTGTGTGAGATCGTGGATGAGCACTGTTGAGGAGTCTCATGCTAGGACAAAACGGCCATCCAGTGCTTCTAGGCCATCAGTGGTGATCTAGCTTAGGTCAACTCATGATTCCAACTATTAAAATGATAGTGATAGGTTAGTTAAACTTCGATTAAATTAATTATCGTTCATTCATATATAAAGACAACTCTTTTCAAGCAAGAACTGTGGGATGATGTCCTCCCAAAATATTTTAAAATATTGAAAACTTGATAAGGAATACGAATAATGAAATTTGTTCTTGTCATAAATTTATATTAACTAGGTAAAAACTAGGAAAAGACTTAGCTCTGGCCGGCTGTTTCATCATAATTTAAGTAGTCTTAACAATGTGAGCCCACGATTCAGCTATTGATCAAGTACAAAATATTTAGGTCCTTCAGTGAAGGCATGAGCTGTAAAACACCAAGTTAGATTCCACATTTGAATCTTTACTAGATTCGCGAGACCGCATGGCATCATGCACTGTCGTGTGTATATATATAATCTTTTAACAAGACACGGTTATATTCATTTTTTCCAGCCTAGTCCAGTCAAACAAAATTTAATAATAATTTCTTCGCAGAGTTATTAAGTTGTCTACTAACTTTTTGTGTGATTTTCTCAAGAGAGAAGTGAATAATTTTAAAATGGATTTATTAAGGAAAATATCTTTATAGATCTTTAGACTAAACTATGATTGTAAGTTTGCCAACGAATAGTGTCAAGACAAGTTTGTCAGTTTTTAACGAAAAGTTATAAGCACTTGAATTCAATAGTGTCTGCAAGAAGCTAGTTAACAGCGATAGTAATGGATGATAATAATATCATATTGTGAGCTGACAGAGAGAAATATGGATTACTAGAAGTAACATGTTCAATAAAAAGTTGAAGATACTGTGTTCGATCATCGATGAGCTAATAGCTCTAAACTAGTGACGAGTTCTATACTAGGACAAAACACTTATTTAATGCCTTCTGATTTTAAATACCTTAAATAAGTTTAGTTCATAGTGATTGTTAAGTGAAATTAATACTAATCTATTCGATACATTTGACGAAACTACAAAATAAGCCTACTTCTTACAGTTAAATTTAATAATTATCACTTCAGTTACTCACTTTATTTGTTCCTGTTCTAATTGTTTAATCACATGAAAATGTAATGGTTTAAGGATATATCGCTGTAAAGCTGATTCTAAATGAAAACCAACATTTACATATCCGAATTCATTTAACTAAAATTAAATTAATTAAAAGACAATTTATGATATGAATCGGTGAAGGATTTAAAAAAGAATAAATTAGAATGTGTGTGATAAAGAAATCAATCAGATACTTTATTTTCCTCTTCATTTTCTTAAATAATACTACAGTGAATCATTTGTGGCCAGGACTAAAATTATAGAATGAAGACTGTTGAATTTCATTTGAGCAATATCATGATATTGTACTTATTTCAATACCCGGAAGATTTTTATTTTTAGTGGATGTAAGGTTATAAGTTTGCAATCTTAAAGAGCCTAGACAAGGATGAAATAACGAATCTGTCTTGTTTGGTGTTAAATGATTTCTGAGCCAGAATCCATTCAAAATGTGTCAGTTGTGTGCACATCTGAGTTGTCTATGTTTAAATAAAATCATAAAACACATTTTGCATTCAAATCGAACCTTATATTACCTTTGGAAATCTGGTTTATACATTGATCACATTACATTCAGATCAATACTTCAGAATCCGGTGGCTCGAATTTTAAGGGTTTCTTTTTGCTCTATAGCTCAAGGACCATCGTTGTTATTGACTTTTAAGTTCCCGGTAGGGCTAATACCGGTCAATATCCATTCGTGATATAAACTACATCCTAATCGAGCATATTCACAGGAAACAAGAAAATAAAACGTGTTTGCGTTTTTGGCCTCAGATTAGTTTGCACTGTTATTATTCGCTTTTTGTAAGATGCTTGTATTATCCAAGTTATCATTAGGCCTTGAATGATATTTCTAGACCCATTCCCTGAATATTCATGTCAATCAATATAATAATTTATTTGGATATCTCTCCATGTTGTTGAAGTGGAATTTTTAAATACAACGTATGAAGAAGAAAGTCGATCTTAAAATTCATACATGAGTTTAAGGTGTTTTTCGTCTAGTCAACTTTTAACGCATTTTTGTTACATTAGTTTATGGAGAATGAATTCTTTTCCTGGACTTAAAGGACGTTTTTGCTTATATCGAATATTCATTATACAGTTGTATAATTTTCACTGCATTTTCGTTTGTTTTAACTCACTCGCTGTATTTTGTGTTCAATAACAATTGTCCCGTTTGATAAAATTTCGTAAATATTAATCATTAAATAAACAATATATAAAGGAATAAACTTGAATACAAATTATTTCTTCTGGGGTCTCTACTAACAAATCTTCTATACAAAAGTGAACTTCTCGTCCTTATTACAAGACAGGAAATCAGAGGATAAAAGAAGTCTAGTTCACTGTATTGAAGTTGAGGTTACTAAGTGACTAGCTAGTAAACGAGCATATCACAACATGAGTAAACCAAACAAAGACAAATAAGACTACTAAACAGTAATGACAATAATTATTGGGATTGATAGAAAGATGTTACCTCCTTTTTCTCTCGTTCAACAGCTTTTGGAAGACCAAGATATGGATTCTTGAGGAGATAATTGGTCATACCATTGATGAATTGGCGAATCTATACAGGAAAAAATAAACTAAATGACGTAGTCAAGGAACAATAAACATATGTAGGGTAGAATGAAAAAAGCAAAGATGAAGGAGTCGATAATTGCTCCATTCGGGGTCATTTTTACATTACCAAATGTCTAGCAAATAGGTTTTCTAATTTCAATAATTCGTATGTCTAATAACTTTTAAAGCTTGAAATAATTTTTTGAACAAGTATTTAATGAAGTCATAAATTACATTAGGACCCGTTCGGTCAATCAAATTAATATTAGAAATGTTTTCGATCACTTCTTAAAAGCATTCTTGAAATCAAACGATAAATATAACTTAATTCAGTATCATATGATATTCTATACCGCATGTGTTGAATTCATTTACTGATACACTTTGCTTAGCTTTAATGATTAAAGATGACTATCAGTTATTCAGTAGATGTTCATTTATTTGATTACCGATGTTCAGATAGATACCATATGAGAGTGTGGATAACAAGTATTGAGTGATACATTTATACTTACGAATGAAGAATCATTTTCTTATGTTGACGGAACTTTTTAATCAGATTAAAACAAGATAGTCTAAAGTGTAACGCAATATTGTTCAAAGTGCAAGGTTGTGGTCCTACTGACAACAACTTCACAAATCAGTATTAGACAAGTATATTATGAGTCAGTGATCTCAATTATACATGAAAGAATTAAATTGACGATGATCACTCTGTAACATGAATCGACTGGAGATGTAAAAATATAGACATATTTATCCTGATAAAGCGATCTAAATTCAATATGCTCACTAGAAGATCTGAACTTTTTACATTCGATCCGATACGAGGTCAAGTATATTTATTATTGTAGAGTCATAAATCAAGGAGATAAAGCTTTATAAAGTCCAATAATTTTCAAGAATTAGTCAATAACAATAGTTAACTTCAAGAATAGTACCATTTAAGAAAATCTACGTTGTGAAAAATGGTATTTAGATTGTCTCGTAGGAAAAGTAAGGTCAAATAGGAGTTTAATTGATAAACAAAATTGTCTACGTTCTACATTATTTAATATTAAATAAAAAAATAGGAAATTTTAACTACTTAAATGTATATATTTCATTAACCAGTTAGTAATATCGAGCAAAATTTGTTTTGATCTTTTCATTATTTTCAGTTGTCAATTTATAATCTAAATAAAAATTCCATTGTACGAATTAATTTTACAGAATAACGACAAGACTATAATTTATGGACGAACCAGGTCTTGAATTTTGGTGTGAAATCCATTCATCCATTTGTTTAAATAACGTTTTGACATTTTAGCTAATGTCACTTCGTAATGAAAATCTTGAATCTAATTCCTAACCCTAACCATCAATTATAAATCATAATCCTTATTCTTAAAACTGCTTTATAACCCTCAATTAGTCCTAGTAAGTAGGTAAACATACTCAAGATCACTAAGACATCACTCAAAGGTCATCCATAAATTATAGTCTCACCAGAATTGACTGATCATAACACATTTCTGAAATGTTAACAACAATAAAATATAAACGTGTACAATTATTAACTCATTATTTTTCCTATCATTATCCCAATCTCCGTTTTCTAAACCGATATCCTCATCAAGATTATTGATTATAATCGTAATGTACTGAACACGAACACCAATGGGGACAATCGAATGTATTTAAGTGCAAAGTTACAGAGCATCTCAATAAAAACTGAGAACCATATATTAAGTCGTCGATTTTCAAAATATCAATCCATCATCTCAAACTTGACCGTTTCTGTCGCAAACATCAATCCATTGTCTCACATTTCATAGTTCATGCGTTTTCATACCAATTGCGTTCCGTTCCCGTTCTTTTCTCATCCACCTTCTACTGAAAATACATTATATGCCTGACCACCGTTCTATACTACTTATACGGATATAAGTAACCCATACCACAGTAGAATCAGGCATGCATCAAGAATTCGATGGTGGTTGGAGGTAGTTGACAGGAAACCCTGGACCCGAGTTTCGTGCTACTTGGCACTTGTCAGCAAGGTGTACCTGTAATCTTGAGGGAACTGGTGCTCCCTGGCGGATCCGATCCCGTGTCACCCAGCTTCACAGTCAGAGACGTTACCACTGAGCTATCCGGGCCACGACTGACCTCCTGTAGGACTGAGATGTATTTACAACTGATTGATCACTGGGTGGTGATCAATGTCATGATTATCATGATGATCAGTGCTGACGAATGCCAAGAAGCACAAAACCCGGGTTCAGGGTTTCCTGTCGACTACTTCCAACCACCATCTAATCTCAATATATAGTGCCCGGAGTGTCGAGTCACCTAGACTGGTGGCCACATTGCAACATGGTCGATAACATTCAATCTGCACTAAATAGGGACTTGACACGCATGACATTGATCACCACCCAGTGATCAATCAAGTGTGGATACATCAAGAATAATTCGAATTTTTCGCATCATAAATACACTTTCATAAAGAAAGTACAAATCTACTATTTAATTTCTTTGTTTTCAAATTATTTCATAGTTTATAGTTAATCATTGGACTATTATTATTAGTAAATCATAGATATTGTTCAATAGATTATAGTTATACATATTAACTTACTGATTGCATTGTTCGATATGGACCACGATCACTGCTTGCTTTTGTACATTCTATAAATAAATTAATTTGTTCTGCTATTTGACTTTTAGGATTAGTCATTAATCTAAAATAAACAGACAAATAAATAAATAAAAACATTTTACATGAATAGAGAAAAGAAAATAGAATGGAACGGAACGATGTAAAATGGTTATTTTTTCATTCCATTCTTGTTACTATTCCCTATTAATAATAAATACGTACAATGTTATTTTAATGATATTTTTATTATAACTCAGCGTGAATTAGATATTTCTTAATGTTATATGATTTACCATTGGTAAATGATCGATTTAATCTGTATTCACTGTCAGTCAGATAATTGTAAACAATCTAATACCTGACATGAATATTTGCATCGATTTAGGTTGTTACAAATCACAACAGTGATAGAATGAAATTGTGAAATAATAAGTATGAAATTTATAGAGAAGATATCTGCATTAAATTAGTCGATTTTATGGTATATCATTGCATTATATAACTTATATGTCGTATATGACTGCTTTAAGTCTCTAATTACTAATTACAATCATAGATTCGGAAATTTTTACCTTCTGACACGACTGAAAGAACAGTCAATGATTTCGCGAATGGAGTTGAGTTTTGTGGTCTTCAATCAACGTGCTTCTCTTTTAACTATCCTTACAGTATGGGGTAGGCTATGGGTATGGATACATGACACTTATCGCAGCCATATCAAATAATATAGGATCACAACTTTGACAAACATTTTTTTTTAGTACTTGACTGAAACCTCACTATTCTACTGTTACACCATAGACCAGAAACGCTTTGAATACATTTGCGATAAATATTAACAACTTAGACATATTTTCCATGTTTCATGAACTGCTGTGTGGACTAATCACTCATTACCAAAGAGACAAACATCTTATATACGTCTATGTGTGAAATGTAGTTCATATCATGATATTAGACTATTTTATAAAAAAAATTGTTAACAATGGAATCTTCGAAGCATCTGGTAACCCCAAGTTACATCATAAAAAGGATTATAGCTCAATGATTTTCGGACTCGTAAACTTACGAAGAACGAGTTCTTAACTATCTGGATCTTCATTATCTTCTAATTCATGTAGCATGTAAATAAACATCAGTATCTTTCAGTTGTGTATAGGTAAATCAATGGCAGGGTGTATCACTTGGCACATTTATTTTGTTATTTTGATACATTTTAGCCAAAATGATTCTTTATTTCAGCAAACCTACTTGGCATTTTCATCAGGAAGCTATCTATATGCAGTTAAATAAATGTACAATAGCTTAACAATTGATCATTTCTATCATTTCTATATATATATACCAATCTTTTCATTTCGCGTCTGACAAAACATGTCGACAATGATGATTTTTTCAACATACTAACTATTATCTGGACATAATAATATCGTTGAAATAAATGCAGAATGTCAGAGTTTGATATGAGGTCATGTTTTCAATAATAATATTAGTAACCCCAACCTCTTTTATTAATACACACATAATGAAAATTAACATATAAATCCTCCGTAGATAGGTAAAGGGCATGAGGTTTTATGGAAGCGAAGAAAATGTAAGCATAATAACACAAATATATACGTACATACATACACCATATTATGTTTCCACACGTTGGAAAGTTTGAATACTTCAACATTAATCGTAAAAGGGTTAGAAATAGAGTTATTCACTTGTTATAATTATGTATTAATCAACACTTATCTTAGGAACTTGTTTATACAATAAATCATATTTGATCGTTTATGGTAGTTTCCTACCACAACATGAAATAAGTAAACTTTTCAATACTGACAAAGCAGAGTCTCTGAAAGCTAGGAGTAATATGAACCCTTTTACTTGTAACCTAATGATGTTCCAAACATTATTATTTAATTCATTTGAATCATCAATGGGAAGATTGGAACAATCAATACAAATGTATTAAACTTCAAATTATTGCCAAAGCCAGTGGATATATGAACTCAGTAGCGAAGTGTATGACGCGTTGGCAACCAGAGTGAACGATACCAGATCCGGGTCCGAGTCTCAGAGTGAACACGGATTATAGTACGCAGGCACACCTAGGTGACGAGTCCCAAGTAGGACGAAACGCGCGTCATGTACTACATTACTAGCTATCATTCGATGTATGAAATAGATCAACTGAATTAGAAAGGTTAACGGCGTCTAATAAATTAAAGGTCCACTCATATGAAATAAAGGTAGATTTCCGATCAATGTCCAAGTGATCTTTACCAAAATTGATGCTATCATTGGTGTTGTAATGCACTCTATCTTGAGATTAATAACCATTTAAATACAACCAAATCAAATATTGCTTAGTGTAAAGAATGAATTCTGAGGTTATTGAATTGTTCTTAAAACTACTTGAATTGTTAAGTACGAAGATATGCAAAATATTATGAAAGCGAATATTGAAATCTGCAGTCCATAACGACATTTTCCACAGATAGTTGCCACCCAACCGATAGCTTGGTAGATAAGATATTCAGGTTTGATAACTAAACACAACTTAGTTCCGAGATATAAATGGATTGAACTACTGATGTAATTCAACCAACTGCAAAAGCAATTCCTATTGCTTCACAACATCTGAATAAGGCAGTTCAAGTTACAGGGATGACAGATTTATAATCACATGAATAATCACTTATAAGGCATGTCAGCATTTCTAGACTATACTTCTGCTTTCGACTCTATTCCAAGATTACTACTTAACAAGTTAATCAGCATCAACATTGACAGCTGGATAACCAACTGCCCATGTTCTTACCTCACTAGAAGAGAACAGTGCACTGTCTTCAACTGTTTAACCTCTCTACTGAGTGAAGAAGGTGTGCCACAAAGAGATGTTCTTTCCTTTCTTCTCTTTTTTGTATGAACTGCCATCCCCCACAGATAACACGTTTGTTAAATATGCAGACAATTTCACTGTATGTATGTCTATTTCTACCTCTTCACATCCCTTTAAAACGAATGAGTTCTAGTCTCCCACTGAACGATGGTCCGTTGTTAATCGTCTCACAATTAATCCTTCCAAACGTCAAACTCTTAACTGTAGCCTGAGATATGAGCAGCACTTACACATTTAATAAAGTTTGTACTGTTGGAGATTCTATAACAAAACGTTTCCAAGGTCATTTATCATGATGTAACTTTTGCTCTGATCTCTCTTAGTTTTCTTATGCTTTATCGATTGCTAATAAAGTTTTCCATCTGACTTACTACATAAAGAGGCTGCATGTTTTTGGTATTACTCGTCATTTACTATTGTAATTTGTTAATTCTCACATACTACCGACTGTTCGTTACTGTTCTCCTGGGATTTTGTGGTATTGTGGGTAGTGCTGAATGCAGTAAGCAGGATGTGTGGTGAATCTTTAAGGTCATTATTAATATCGTCATGGGTAGACGCTTAGAATCTTGTAAATTCTTAACAGGTGTTACCTTATCAAATATTAATCATCCACTTCATTGTTATCATTCGCCCAGTATATCTTCTAGTAGAACGAGGAGCCAATACATTAGAATTCACGTACGTAAGTGAAGGTATGAAAGATCTACAATACCTTATCTAGCAAATATATTATGCGATGAACAGGTTGTTATAGCTGACCTAGTCAATAACTTGTATTCTCAAACATGTCTATATATATGCAGTTATTTGTCTTTTTTTCGCTTTTTAATTTGTAAAAGAAACTTTTTGAAATACTTAATATTGGTGTGGTGTGTGCTACTTATATTGACATAAGTGGTATATGATGTTAGTCGTGAACTGAAGGTCGGGTAGCAGAGAGACAAGAGGATCGAACATTAAAAAAAAATTGGGGACAGGATGCAATTTGTATGAAAATGCAAGAACAATGAAGTCTGAGTCATTTTGAGACAAGTGGTGGATACTTTGCAAATGAAGCATTTACTTTATGATTGTTAGATTTTATTAACAAGTCCTGTAATTTTGTGTTAAATACATTCAATTGTCCCCACTGGTGTTCTATATTGTAGTAAACATACAATATTGAATAAGGCCACTAATAATAATAATAATAATAATAATAATAATAATAGTTTCAATTACACACACTCATTTGTTAGTAATTCAAATATAGTACTAATTTTATTTAACAAATTACTTTATTCCAAATGAATGTTAGTTTCCAAAGTGTTTTAATACAAAAAAAATGTCCAAAGATCCTCAGTTTTCAATAGTTTCCTAGTTGATATCAAACTGTGATGAGAATCAGATTCAGATAAAATTGATCTTTACAAACCTTTTAATGTAAATTCATATTTATAAAACTAATTAATGAAATAAAAATGAAATAATAAATTTACCTATGAAAAAATTTCTTAATATGCCGACCAACTCTCTTTGATTTTTGTGGTAAATCACTAGACCAATTTATTTTATCTAAATTATTTGAAGATTGTAATTGTTCATGAGTTAATAATGAAGCTTTTTCAAAATTCAATTGATTTGTATTTATTGAATGAATGAATTTATTATTCATATTTGTATTCAATGATAAATGATATTGTTCTGATTTACTAGGTATTTGTGAATAAGATTCTGAAGAATTCCATGAAGAAAGTGATGTTTTTGAATCAAATGATGAAGCTAATGAATTAGTAGATGATGAAGATTGTAATGATTCACCAATTGATAAAGGTGCAATACATTGTTGTGTGAATGAATCCTTATCAGTTAGTTCATCTTTTTTATTTAATGATATATGTTCAAGAGTTTTTAAAGTGTTAAATTCCATTTGTGGCATATCATTGAACGGATCTGATCGAAATGTGATTGTATGATCAAATGAATTAATATCAGTGAATTGAGCTTGATCGCGTAAATGTTTTGGTAGTACTTGAGCATCTATAGTTTAGAATTTAAACAATATTTCGGGAAAAAATATTATAAAGCACTGATAATTATATGTATATTAAAATGCTGGCAGTGTTCATCATGACTTTAACTCCCGTTGGACTAAGATCTGAGAATTTTGAGTCCGACCCTTAGCAAGGTCATGAGTGTGCATTTCTAAGGAGTTAGATGCTAGGGTCAAAATAAACACTCACTTCTCATTGATTTTAGTCAGTAACTAAAAGGGGATCATTACGTGACACCTCGGTCTAGAAATTGAACGAATATTTACAACTCCTCCCTACGACATAACCATATTAGAATGTAAAAAATTCCGTAAATCATCTAAAAAAGTGTTTGCTCATTTATGTTTGTTAGATAGTCTCTTCATTCCTGACTTTACTCAGTCAGTAAGTTGGGAATTAATGTGAATAGTAATGATTCAAATGGATGATTCATATCAGTACAGAAGGACAGTTTAACAACTTTGAATTCACTTTATTTTTATCTAAAACATTTCAACAATAATGGTAATGATAACAATCAGTTTAATTATATTCCAAAATCTTGAAAATAAAATACGTAGCGTAGCAGCAACTTTCTGCATTAGATTCAATAAACTCATGAACATGTAAAATAAAATATTTTTTTGGAAAAATATGTAATTTTTAACAGTGGTTAATTGCCACTTATTTTTTATCACAAACGTTTACAACCAGGCTAACTCCTATAGTAATTTTTACCATGTGACCCTATTTAGTTGTAGCTAGTTATTCATTGAATTTTGTCAGCCTTGTAAATAAATACGGCAGAAGTCATAGGTGAACAATATCAAATAAATGCAAAACAATTCATTGAAAAGTTTTTACATCTATGATACAGGCGAATGAATGTATACAATAATTTGAATAGGGGATAAAACAAAGTAAACAGTCCGAAGAATATAAATAAAATGACTATAGCAAACACAATAAACATAGTGGAATAATATAAGTTTATTTTAATTCGTGGCTTTTCTTCGACTCCGTACAATCTAAACGTAATATTATTATTCTTTAAAAACTAGCTGACGTACTTTTCAGAATAATATCAAAAGAGTACTCATCAAAGAAGATTCATGAAATGAACAATAAGTATAAAAGAATTACAAGAGATGATTTTGTATTAAATACTGTGAATATTTCAATATATGAGTATTCTAGCGTAAAACTAAGAGCATACATACAAAATTGTTTAGAAATGTAGTAGCAGCAGTATGGTTATGTACCACTTTCAGATTATTTTGCATAATCTATCTGGTCTCTGATGGTATGAATATCTCTTCAATAGAATTCCATCACAGAAATTAAATGAGCAATTAGTGGGTTTCATAGATCAATGTTATTTCTTGATCTAAACTGGCATGGGTTGTTTTTCGCTATCTTTTCTTGATCATTAATGAATGCTAACTTAAATGGTGTCTGAGCATATGAAATTCCAGTTACAAATATCTTGATCAATACTGATCTACATTAAATTTTGCTTCTTTAGACAAAAAGTTTCAACTCGACATCTGTCCTTGAAAATAGCCATGTGATCATTTTAAATCACCTGGGTTTAAATATCCTTAGTGTTTTACCCTATTCTACTTTCGTTGACATCATCCATGTTTGATGAGAAAAAAACGTATCCACAAAACTGGTCAAAACTTGTCCATTATAAGTTTTATTATGTACCGTTACTAATTTGCCATAAACGAGTTTGTTTGGACTTGGAATCGTGAACTAAGCTCATGGGAGCTAGTGTTAATACCTGGCTGTCCAAACCTAAATTAATTGAGCAATTCTCAAACGAGAAACCTCAGAATTAGAAGCCGAATATTATAACGACTAAGCTATTTTTCCATCAAATACTCAACTAATATTTTGTCTCTTTGTCAAAATGTATCCAAAGACCAATCAATAAGGATCAGTAAAACTAATCGAGTAAATACATGTCAAACTGTTACATTTCCTACAAAGTGAATAACAAAAGAATGATCCACACTGACTGAAAAGTAAACAACACATTTTAAGTATTTACGTCGTTTATAATTCCATTCTATTTATCCAAATGTACCTAACAGATTTTTTCCGTTAATGAAACAAAATATTATTCAGGTATGTCATTCTTGAAATCGAACATAATAGGTACTATCAATATAATTTTCTTCAATACTAAAAATCTAAAAATATACAAACTGACAATATGAACACCTCACTTTCCAAATGCTCTTTACTCATAAACAATATGTAAACAAATATATTTCGAAAATCTATTGTAACTTTTTGTAAATGTTATTTCCATTTATAGCAGCACAATTTTTTAAAGGTAATTCATGTAATTACTATAGTCATATGAGCATGGTCAACAATTTAACCAATCACACAGGAAATTACCATATAATTTGTTGTATTTAAACCAGTAATCGGTTGTTGTTTTTGACAGTGTTAATAATCATGATGATGATTAAATAAACATCAATGTGCATAGTGTGCACCATACACTGGAAAAATAAATAGGTCATATTATTGATGATGAAAAATATATTATATAGATCATGATGGAGATAAGTGAATTCTTACCAATTGAGAAATCTCAGCTTATACAAATTACAGTTTATGAAAAAGATAATTTTACAAATGACGAAATATGTAATAATCATATTAAAGATTGTGGATTTAATTTGGAAAAAAGTTATTATTATCTTTTGAAAACTATGAGACATCAACATCGATGTAAAGCTGGTACCAGTATTAATAATATTAATGTTAATGGGTTCGAAAGTGATTATGACAGCGTTGATCCGATGACCAATCTATATCTTGATAAATTATTCAACTTAACGAATCATTCTTATCATGATTTCGATCATACGACTACTTTAACCATTGGTAATTGGACTTATCGTCTTCTATTAATAGATCAAAATGAACTATTTGAAAAAATTGATAACAATGAATCTGACAATGAGGAGAGGTTCAGTGATTCCACATATGACAGTCTAGACTATTCTGAAAGCTTAACAGATGACAATGACGACTACAATCCAACTATTTACAAAATCACCAGAAAATTCAAACATGTAAGATTTTATCATAGACCAGTTGATAATAATCCTTTCGACATTCATAACCAGACGAATGAACACGAAATTACTGACGACTATGATTATGAAGCAAAATGGTATGAATACGAAAGAGATAGATTGGATAGTGATGATGAAATTATTGAAGAAGATATTTATGAAGTAGGTTCTCATGAAGAAGAACAATATAAACATGATTATAAAGCTTATAGTAAATTACAGAACAAAGAAATTCTCTATATAAGAGATGAATTCGATGTTTGTGAAGACGATAATGAATAATACAATGTTATTCTTATAAAAGAAACTCAGATGAATAGTTAATAATCAGTTTTATATCTAACAAATACAACTCGTAAGAATCAACTTATATGTATTTCTAAATAACTAATCAAGTAAATCTTTGAAATAATTTGCATATATACATGTATATCTATAATAAACAATCATAAATCTCGTTTTCTGTATACAAATCGTTTTTATTTATCTGGTTCCAAGATAACTGAACAATTTTCGAATAGATTATACATTATGTAACTTGCATTGTAGCGAACAAGAACACGGATGGGGACAATCGAATGTATTTAATACAAACTTACAGAGCATCTCAATAAAATCTGAGAACCATATATCAAAGCGTTAATTTGCAAAATATCCACCAATTGTTTCAAAATGCCTCAGACTTCATTGTTCTGGCATTTTAATACAAATTGCATTCTATTCCCGCTCTTGGTTTCTTGATCTTCCCCGATCTTCTGCTGCCAGACATTGCATCCTTGACTCGCGTCATATACTACTTATATCAATATAAGTAGCACGCACCACAGTATTTTGATAATAAATCAGTCAGTCAGTCAGAAACAACGTAGAACTTCGTACGTACGTACATCAATTCAAGTTGCCATACCACATTAGTACAGAGATACAATTGTCGATTCGAATCTCATAGTGGTAGAGGTAGTAAAAGTATAAGCAGTAATCGGAAAAATTAGTTTCTGAAGTGTTATTTAAGGAGTAATCAATAGCGTGAAATTCGAATTAATAATAATAGAGCATTATGAAAATACAATCTTCTACAACATAAGTGTGATTATTAAACATTAATAATTAACCTTTTAATGTATCCAGTTATTCACAAATTCAAGGTCTAATTCAAATTAATTTTTCAGAAATAATGTTCAAATTCAATTGACTTCTTAATATCTTGAAATAATCGCTTATTGTATTACTTTGATCAAGTTTACTTGTAGATAACCTTCAATTGTGAACATTCTATGAACACTTTATATCTTGATATATATTTTAATCTAGAAAGGTTATGAATAACATTCAAATTTCCTTTATACTCCATAATAACTTTAATCTGATAATGATACATACTCCTAGAATTCATTCTCTTTTTTTTATTGACAGATTATTTTGTTTTATATGTTAAGTTGACAAGAATTATAATTATAATTTGATTTTTCCGTTATAATTGGTTGGGTCTCATTTATTCAGAGAAAGTATAACAGACTAATTGAATCTAGAGATACGAGATTTCATATTAGTGATCTGGAAACAGTGTGTTTTCTACGAGACATAATTGTCCTGGGATTAATCTCCTGTATGGTTGTGGATGTATACTGTTGAGAAGACCTGAACTAATGCTAAACATTTCTCCAGTTATCTTTGATTATCACAGATTTCCTAAGTGATAAAAATTAATTATGAATATCAACTACAAATATAATTTAAATTAATTGGATAGATTTCTCAAATGAATATGACTGCAAACTACATACATAGACATCTTATTGTATAGTAGATCTATTGTTAATATTACAAGACATTGTAAAATGTCATGCAGATAAATCTGTCCTATTTCCAATTATTAACTAATATTGAGTGAGTAAAATGGTAGTGAAAAGTCGCTTGACTCATATCTATTTGTAACAAACTCGTGATATTTCCACCTGGATATATGTGTATACAATACTGAATCACTTCACTTGAAACTCAAATTGATCGATATATTTTACTTTACATTGTATTAAGATTCTTTGGAAGTGCACACTCTTCGCATTGTTTAGTGTTTTTGACTCAAGATATCAAGATAATGAGGTTAAAACGCTATTGTTTAACTAGTGAACTACTGTAAAATAATTGTCCGTCTATACACCACTTTTGCATCTTAAGTTAAAGCACTTAGATTACTAATAAGGTTAACACTGATGGTGAGCAATCATCAAGTAATTAATAGTTTTCAGGAAGTTTTTATAAGTGTAGTAAAAATAAATATTTTATTAGTGAAACAAAAAATTCAATCCAACTTACAAACATAATTATCCGGCCATATTTTACCATGGCTTGTACTACTATCCAATGAACTATTTAATGGATTCTGGCAGAAATCTAAAGGTACTGATTTATTTGACAAGGAATAATCGTATGGTATCAGTTCTTCGATAGTAGTACTATCTGCGTTAGTAGTTACACTGTAATTGGTATTGTGATTATCAATTGTAGCACCATTACTGGTAGTATTGGTAGTGGTATTGATGTTAATATTGTTTCTATCATCTACATTTTTATTACCATTATTATTATCATCACGAAGTTTACCATGAATATGATGATTATTCAACGATCTCGTTATATGAGATGAAGAAGTTTGTAATTCACTTGATGTTAGACATGAACAATCTTGTGCTGAATTGTTACTAGTATTATTATTATTGTTATTATTATAATTCATTGAATGACAGGCAGTTACAGCATATGGCTAAATTTAAAAAGGTACGAATGAAAAGTGATTACAGAATATATTATCTCAACATACAATCGAATAGTTGAATAATTATCTTGTTAAGTAATAATAGTCATAAAAAGTAACCATCATTAATGAACTGAAATGGGAAAAAATGAATTAAAACAGTTTGTTTCATTAATCTTAGAGTATTATGCGTGATACAAGAGTTGAATGTCAACATTTCCGTTCTGTATACATTTATGAACGTAAAATAGTATTAAACAAGGAGGAACTAATTATAAAATGCTTCTTGATATCTTAATAGTTCTTCTGCTTTATACCGATTCCTGATGAAAACTCTGTTCAAAGTGATGATCTTTTTCTTTTAAAATTTTTTAAAATCTTTGCTCTTCACCTGTTAGATTTAAAGTACACTGATTTTACGTTCATGCTGTCAGTTATTTGAATTTAACAAAGTTTTAAAGTATGAATTACAAAACCAACAATAAAGTATTGAAAAACGATATTAAACTTGAATAAATTTCGTTTAATAAAGAAATTCGGCCAGTCTATCTGCTTAAATCACTCTGCTTGTCTATCGTAAAGAAACTAATGAGAATATTTATGAGATGTAACTAACTACTGTCAACACTTATTCTGATTACAGTAAATTTTAAGCTGACTGAACGACATGATTAGTCCACCCAATAAATTTGATCTCAGATACTAATCAGTATTGTGTTTTTGAAACTATGAATAACAGTAAGGCAGGTATATGGAATTTTTTGCATAAAATCTCTAATTAATTTTACACTGTTCCTCGTTTTTGATTCTTTGATACTATTAGTATCACGATTCATGGGTCCCTTCACGTTAGACTTGTGTACCACTTTCGTATCAATAATCTATTGATTAGTTAACCATATTGTACAATAATCAAAATCTGTTAATGGAGGAAAAATAAAAATGAACATTCTTTTCAATGAATTTCTCATCAGGTTCTACAATTCATAAATCTGAATTAATAATCCATAAGATTGGTCAGATTTACGACAGAGTACATCATTTGGAAATTGTAATATGTGAATCAGGAATTGTTTGTTATATAAATAAAATCGTTCATGTTGGGGCTGACTAATATAAAGTGTTAACTTGAATCAGTTTATAAGTGAAATGAAATTGTGCGATAAAGGATCAGAATAAATCTGGTCAACATGGGATGAGAGAGAAAATAATGTAATTACAAATAAGAAATTACGTAATATGTAGAATAATATGAATTAGGTCAGATATAGTAGATAGGGGTGGATGCTGAATAATTTTCTCAGAAATGTTATCAAGTGTAATGATAATAATGACACTGGTAAGATGTGTAGATAAGTTTGGGACATAAAAATGAACATTAATCAAATTACATCACCATATCATAAAATTGATTATTAACTAGTTGGCCAGGGTAAAAGAAGCGGCTGAACATATTTCTTTTGGATGCAAAGCTCTAACATTTTGATCCGAATAGCAATTTCTTCAGCCGTCTGTAGGATTCGCAGTCTGACGGAATTAGGTAGATTGCTGTTAAGACGATATATTATTGTGAAAGATTGCTCCATGTTGGCTGTATGTCCCGTTTGAATTAAAAGGGCTAAAATGGAGTTAACCGGTTTAACTGCACCTTTGCTTAACCACATAGGGATCCGTATCTATCAATTCAATTGCTTCTGTGGAGCAAGTTATATTGGCAGACGTTCTAGGAACTTGTACATTCGGGCTCGTGAGCACTTCTCCGTGTGGTTAAGCAAAGGCTTGTAACAATTCAACCATTTTCGTCTCACTAGTGAAATTTAGTGATACTTCCTCAATTCTTACATAGAAAAATATTAGTGAAAGAGAAAATCTATTTTTATGAATGTGAAAACTAATTTCAATAGAAACCAAATTCAAATTGATGTTATATAGCGTATCAATTTCACTGTGATTATGGAATTTTCAACTAACGTTCTTTCATCATATAAAACACAAAGAAATTTCTGTAAATCGAATTATAACAACAGTCTGGTCATATTTTTTGTTCTGACTAAAAATTTATTCTAAATACACATTAACAGACAAACTATTCAATGTGACTTTTTTCACAAGTCAATCTAAGCTGGACCACCATTGAAAACCTGGAAGTACTGGACGATCGATTAAGGATGTGCACTGCTGGGGATTACCAAACTAGGAAGGAACGACCAACCAGTATCCTCATACTGATAATATCTTTTTTCTATTTAATTCTCATATAATATTCACTATTAATAATTGTGTAAATAACCATCTTGAATAGTTCATAGTTATTCATGTGGTTGAATAAAACTTAAAATAAACTACATTTTCATACATGATATTATTCACTTTCTAAATGAATTAATTCAATTCAACTTACACTAATGTCATCTGTAAAATCAATAAATGAATGTAATTTGTAATCTAATGAATTATTTTTTGATACATTAACAAGTGAATAAGGATCATTTAGTCCACGTTTACTTCTCACTGGAAGTGGTGGTGACAATTTCTCACTATCATCCTTCAATGTTAATGATTTTGTTGTTGCTGTTGCTGACATCGTCGGCGTCGTCGTTGATGTTTCCAATACCGTGGTTGTCGTTTCAGTTAAAAAATCATTTTGTAAACTTTTAAAAAACTCATTCATATTTCCTAGTGATGTTGATGACAACTCTTTCAGTTCTCTATTGTTCGACTGATTTTGTTGTTGTTGTTCCCACAGATTGAAAAGATTAGACATATCAGTTTTATTATTATTATTTAATAGTGATGAAGGTGAAATTACTGGATTATTATCAGTAGTAGTTGTTGTTGTCGCAGTAGACGAGGAACAATAATTATTATTATAGTCAGTAAGTAGATTTCCAATCAATAGTTGATGTTCAACACTAGATAATGTTTTACTACGACTCCGTGTAAAATCTTTACGTTGATAATGTGTATTCCTTGATTGTGAATGAATTTTACTGTTATTAAGATTATTGGAATTATAATCATTAGAGTGATAAGCATTAGGAGATTGTTGTAAATCATCAAGAGTTGATGAGAACGGTGGGTTTAATTTTAATAAATCTGCAATATATGGACCGATTGGGGCAGTATCCCATGGTGGACAAAATACAGTACTAGCTCGACTACTAGCTCCAGGGGATGATGTATTAGATTCAAGTTTTAAACTTTTACTTTGTTGGGAATCTGATGATATTTGATGACGATAAGAGTGTGAATTATTATTTTGTTGTTGTTGTCTACTGTTTGAACTTTTATCCCAAAAATTTTGTTCACTTTGATAAACCTCATGAGGCAGTGATATCCTTGGAGCAGACAACAAAGTTAATGTTGGACATTCAGAATTAACTGATTTTGTTACAGTTTCTGATATCGGTGCTGTTGTTGTCGTTGCAGTCATCGTTATAGCCGTTGACATGGTTAATTTCTTTACTTCTATATATGAGATAAAAAATAATTTATGAATAAGGAATCGAAAATTCTTATTTATTTTTGTTGAGATTATGTCCAAAATACTATTGTTTAGCAGCTGATGTGTAAATAAAAAGTGTCTAATATGAGTAATTTATCCAGACATTTGGTCAATAGTTCCATTTGATCTCCCATATCTTCAGAATCCAGTTAAATCAGAAAACTTGCATAATTTGAATTAACCATAACAGTTATTAAAAGATTATTTGGTGAGACCAAAATTTATAGACGACCTTTGAGAGACACTGGACTGACCTTGAGAGTGTCCATTTAATAACCAGGACCAAATGAGGGTTATGAACTTGTGTAATGAGTTATAATTTACAGTTGTTGGTTAAGCTTAGGAATTAGATTTTGGGTTTTCATCACGGATTGACATCAGCTATTATGCCAAAACTCTATCCAAATTGATGGATGAATTTCGCGCCAAAATCCGAGATCTTTTATCTTATACGTGATTGGTTCGTCACTAAATAATAGTTTCGACGATTATTTTTATTTTTAAACCCCTCCAAGTACTTTTCTCTTCAGATGATTAAGAGATTTTATAAGAAAATGTGGTATATATTTTAAATAATCATGACTAAACATCTTATTTTATGGGTTTATTTTATTTCACCATTATGAACAAGATATTGTTTTTAACAATAGGTTCGTTATTTTAAAGCGAACACATTTATGTGGACAATGAACAAAAGTCAAAGTACCGAACACAGATAAAACAAAGTATTCAATGCTTCATTTTATCCTAAAGGTTTCTTTAGTTGAAAGGTGATTTTTTAAGTGATATGAGGGGAATAAGTCACATAGTATTGATAATGCTATGTCTGGTGAAATTATTCCTTAAAACGGACAAAATGGCTTCACTAATGTCAAGTCTTAATATATAGAAATCATATTTATCTTATCCAGTCTGCAACTTATACAACAGTAAAATATTATAGTTCAGTGCTTAATGCTGTCTAATAGAGGATTTGAAAAACTTGAAAAACCACTTAAAAAGATAATGTAAAAATAAGCTGTGAAGGTTTACATTTTCCCATTGTTATTCGTTAGTGCCGAATTCCACTAGTTTATCTCTACTAACGCATAGCTTTCTTCGACATTTGTCTCAGCATAGTCTCGATTTACAAACTGGATATCCTTCATTATCTAAATGTCATACCTATTGAACTGGTTATGATCTACCATTGTTCATTATCGTAGCGGACAAAGAACATTATGGAAATTATGACCAGAGGTTTTGGTTTCAATCCCTAGTGAGAACATTAACAGTATGAAGAAAGAATATCCCAAATGAGGACAGACCGTGACTTCTAGATTCCAGTGTCAACTATTATGTAAAATACTATATAATCACTCACAAATATGGTTAGATGAATTTATTCAATCACTTAAACACTTTAAGATAATATTAAATAATACTAGGATCAAAAGATGAAATAATCAAAATGATTGCTGAAATCACGCGTTACCAAATAAATAAACCACTTAAATAAACATCAAAGTTTAAAATATTTTCAAAATTTGTCGGTTAGCATAACAAATACAATTTTTACTAAATTAAATTTATTAGAATGAATTACGTATCACGATCAGAACAATAACATACATAGATCGCTTAACACTGTCATGCAAATGATATAACAGTACAAACGGTTTTATTATATATAACTAAAGTGATATAATGAGCGATAATGTAATTACAAATTCGACTAATTGTTTAGTGGATGACAATATCATGAACAGAATCATATGAATTCAGTAAGAAATGATAAAGTAGGGTAGGTGGTCACTGAATTAATCATGTGTTCGAGAGATTAATAGTGATATTGAACCAATAATAATAATAATAATAATAATAATAATAATAATAATAATAATAATAATAATAATAATAGTACTACTACTACTACTAATAATAATAATAATAGTACTAATAATAATACAAAAGCATGTAAATAAAAATAAGAAAGACAATAATGTCTGACTAAGAAATATTGTACGTATATTAGTCAAATGAGGTCTTCCCATAGTTAGGCCTACCATTGGTTTATTGGCCAAGGCAAGAGGCGGTCTTGAAGATATTTCTTTTGTATACAGTCTCGGTTTTTTAATCCGAAAGGCTATTGCTCTTACTGCTTGGAAAACTTTGAGTCGGACTGACTTTGGTTAAGAATTACTAACCCGATAAATTGCTGAAAAAGATTGACTTATACTCGCATGATGATCAGTTTGCACTTAATGGGTTAGTATTGAGTTGTTTACTGCACTGACTACATCTTAACTCAGTCACTTAGGATGATGTTCATGAATACGAAAATATAATGTTGTTTCAATCGTTTTTCGGCCACGATCTAGAAACTCGATAACGAGCTTATTATATTGTTCAGATACTTTTCGACATGATGTTCTGTCATCTGAAAAAAAACTACTGAGATGATACGCCAACGAATAGCGGTCCCGTCTTCAATTTGAATTCATCAGTATACACCTACGACTTTACACGAGATTGAGTCGATAGCATCCAGGTTCTTCAGTAAGCACTTTACTTTCAGACCATTGAAATGAAATTCAATGTTGCAAGAGTTTACGAGGTTGTAAAAAGGTTCTACTAAGAAATTTCTAATAAAAAAATGAAAATCTTATAGAGTACCATCTGATCTATAGTAATACTTTAGATAACATCAAATCATGGTGAAAATGTACATTGTAGTACATTAGTCTTTACAGATCACTTAAATCATTGTGACAATATTTGACTTGGATTTTTTTTACTTAGGTTTACTTACGCCTGTTACTCCTAATGGAGCATAGGCCGATTTGACTTGGTTACATAACGTTTTTAATAAATCATTCAACATATCCATCAGCCAAATATTTATTGCTTAAGTTAGATAATTAAATATAACATTTCCGTTTTCTCATAAAAGATTTATTTACAATTACCGTTTAAATATGTTAACTCACTTGAATTTTGTTCAATATCTTGGAAATAATTCTTATTTAATTCCATATCAGTTTCAAAGCAAATTGTATGATCTCCATGTAGTATATCATATTTCTTGGAATTATTATAATGATTTACAAATGTATCAGTAACATCTGATGTCTCTAAGTCTGGGTGATAATTACTTTGACTATTCAATGTTTTTGAATAAATAATTTTAGTGACTGGTTTATACGTGGATGAGTTATTTTTTATTTCGTCCAGTTTTTGCATGACTACTTTGGATGATAACGGCGGTGATGATGAATGAGTAGGTCGATGATTATTTTCAGAAATTGTTTTAACTGTTTTCTGTCTATGTGTTGTATCCGCCTCGTTTTCATCGTACATTCTAGTAATTTTCTCAATCTATCAAATGGAGATGAAAGAGAGGGAAGGACATACATATAATAACAAAAATCATCACACTCACGAAACTGTAATCACAGTGAAGGTATTTACCTCCAGCTGAGATGATTCTTTTATACGGAGTATTCATAAATGATCATATGGCAGATGAATTTAAACATTTAAAATAAACGGAATAAGTTTTACAGTATAGGGGTTTGTGGAGATTGTAGTATTTTAACAGTTGAATTCACGAGTCGATCTAAGGTAGTCTATGATCTTGAAGTTCGACCTTAACACCGTTGGATGCCTGATCAGTGGTCGAGAGGTTAAACATTCGCGCGCGAGACTGAAGGTCTTTGATTTGAGTCCTGCGTGTGAGGTCGTGAATGCGCGCTTTTATAGAGTTCCAGATTAGTACTAAACGGTCATCCAATACCACCAGTTCTTCACTGGTGATCTAGCTTAGATGGATACATGAATTCAACTGTTAAAATAAGTTTTTGACAGACAGAATTAAGACCGATAACTTGGAATTGTCACTTAGCGATCTATTTTGATTAACAGTATGCTTTATTGTGAATCAAACCCTAACTAATCACCGTTTATAACTATCTGCTGTGAATCGATCTTCTATATAGAGAATCTTCCATTGAAGTAAAATAAGGCAAACTAGTACTATTTGATATGAACTCTGACAAAGCGCAACTTCTACTAAACAACCTGAGTAACACTTCAAGAATATTTCTGATATGTTTTTCGTCTTTTAAAAATAGAGCCACTGAATTTCAAACTGAGTCATGTTGGTAGACGTAAAATTTCTGATTAGAGTCCGTTAAGGGTTAGGTGTTATAGCTAAAGATAGACTGTAGTAAGCCAAGGGTATTCCCTATTTATCTCCCTTCAGATCTTAAGTTTAAATTTTATCTCTTATATATCAAACCTCTCAATTTCATTTTTCTTTTTTAACTATATTCTCCACTTAGTTGGATTTAGATGGTGACTAGCAGTGAAATTCAGGATGTGCGTTTTGTCCTATGTAGGATTTATAATCTGTATGTGACTGCATTTCAGTGTTGTTGATCACATTGGGCTTCAAACGCTCAACACGTCATCCAATAAATTGCTAAATTCAGATAGTCACCGCCCTGTGTAACAGGGATGAACTTAATCTGTAAGTGTTTGTGTCTTCCTGTTGCTGATGTTGAGAACAGCGATTGATCAGTTTATTCGGACCAAAATATGTGTCCCGCATCCCACTGCTAGCAAATATCTAGCTTCAATTAAGAGTTTGTGACCAAACTTCAGTATCCAATTAATTCGCACAAGATGCACGCATTATCGAAAGAGACTGATCAATTACAGCGCCCAACATCAACAACGACAAGATACATACAAATACGTACAAATCATGTTATTTATGTTAAGCCTATAAAATTGATATTATAATTTTAACTCGTCCAACTTCCAGATGATTAAGCTCTTGTCACAGTAATGATATAGTGTAACAACCTGAACTGATATTCAATAAACTGAGATCTGTCGAAATCTTCATTTTCACTGATTGAATAATCCAACTGTTAGGCATCGATCATTATGATAAACAAATTTGTTGATAAAAATCTTCAAAAGTGAACTAAATCAATTTACACCATTAGTCCATGAAATTAGTGACTTTCTACTACACTAAAAGTCAATAAGTACTCTGAATAGCTAAAAATAAATTGGACTCATATTCAGTTAAAGTATAGGTGACATAAAAAGTAAAACTAGGCTGTAATGATTCATTTCAATACCACTATATAGGTTCAATAGTCAATAAACTTTAATTTTTATATCTCTTTCAGACTACAAAACAAAAATTATCTTGCTTATTAAAAGAACACAGTTTCAGTAGACGACTTATACAAATATGATGTCATGTGTATTATAAATTTTTATTACATAAAAGGTTACGTAGTCAACTTTCCGGTAAGAATTGTCCTCAAAATTAACCACGCTACTCAGATGTCTAAACCAGGGGAAGATGGAAGTCGAATGTGTAACCTACTGGTTAAAAATTGAGGAATTCAACCATTAGGTTATAATTAGTCAACGCATATAAATTTTTTAGAAATATAAATGTATTACTCAACTTATAGACATAAAGCAAGGAGCAAAATCCCTTTCAATATCTAATTCTAATGAAGCAAGATGAAAATCGAAAATTTATCAAACGTTGTTATGTGGCTTCGCTGATGTCAATCGACATGAACCATTGTGGACACACGTTGGACTGCGAAAATGTCGAGAGTTCAGACACATCAAAGGCAAAGAAGACCAGAGGATTTTTTAGAGCTCATTAGCAGTCAATAAACGTATCAAAACCGACCTAATTCACCAACCAGTTAGCAAAATCATGGACGAATACTGTATCAGGAATGAGGTCGAAGGGGAAGGTGACTGGAACAAATCTGTCAGTAATGACAGGACAAGAGTCAATAGCAACTAATAAAGATCAAAGTCGAAAGGATAGGCTGACATTCACAAGTGGGAAGATTCGAATAGCTCATCTTTACATAAAGTTTGTGCTGATAATACCATCCAGAAAGACAGTGAAAGCCTCTCGACTAAACCATCCATCTTAGACAACGAAACTCCACTAAAAACAATTTACCAAATTTATTCAAAGTACTGTGTTTGAATTTAGTTTCATAAAAATTTGTTCTGTTTTTCTTTTAGTGTCAGTGTTGTGCTGGATTTCCAGTCAAACCTTTCCACATCTAGATTCAATGTGAGTCGTTTGGTATAAAAATGCCTCCGAAAATTTGTTTCATCAATTAACATACTATTGAATTAGCCTGACAGTAGTCTTGTGTACATATTCTCACTAAATATTATGTTAGTTTATATTGTTCGTGTTGAATAGTTAGAATTTTGAAAACAGCTAATAATCAGGTAATCTGTTCATCGTTTTTCGCACTGATATCATTTGTTTTAAATGTGCCTAATTTTTTGACTTTTACTTTTAGATTATGATTGGTCGTATTTTATAATGTAGGTAAAATAACAATTGTATCTACGATGTGGATGGGGCAGTTAAACTTGACCCCAGGAATATCACAGCTCTAAAATTTTCAAAAGTAGATTACTCAGGTATTTCCATATTTTATAGACTTAACATTTTTCTACCTAACCTTTCACTTACACTTTTATGTCAAATGAAATACTCGGCATTTCTTAGATAATGACTAATACTCACTTATTGAGTATTAGTCATTTTTCGATTATATGGTTTACCTTAAACGAATTCACAACTTGTTGGAATATAGAACTGGTTTTTACCACTGATCGACGTTAGACACTGAACCATTGGAAACTAATGACAAATATATAGTTTTTTCGTCCTGGTTTGGAACATTTCAGAATCACAAAACTTTGAAACTGCGTAAGATCAGGACCAGGATAATTTGAATTTTCAACAAGCACATTAACATCTAGAATCCTAAACCGACGGTACGAATTATTTGATCTCAGTTAATTCTCAATACCGTTCATTCATTATTCCATATCATCTATGGATAGCTGCATTACATCAACAGTGAAGATACTCAAACAACTTTTTAAATGGTTTGCTAATTGAGATTATCTACAACGTCTTCAATGTTCAGAAAACGTATCGTACCTAGCACTTTTTGGATTTTCCCATTCGTTTAGTAGGTTAGTACAGTATATTGGATAATTATTCTCACCAAACATTTAATCTCGAACCACAGATTTCACACTACTTGTGTTTTTCATCTGGCATGACAGGTTGGGATGAACGTGTTCATAACAGACATTTGCGAATAAATCCAGTCATCCTTTCATTATTATTATTAATATTTGATAGTTGTACCATATAAAAATGAATCGCGAAAAAGATTTCATTCAGCTAGATCATATTAAACAGCTAAAAACACTTGTCTAACCAAAACTCGTTTTTTTCAACCATAAGGAATAAATCAGAGAATGAAGAAAAAATACGCATCAGTAACTATTCGAACCGAGCTCCGTACTAATAGACTGTATGACAACGTTCGAAATTTAAAGGTTGACAAAGAGTAGATACAATATAGCAATGTAATCTTTTACTTTCCATTACACTATCTACCAGCCTCAACTATTTGTTTCTAATAGTTCGAGGATGTGAGCTATTATATAGTACATTTTATTTGATGACTCAAACAAACAATCAATAGTCTCATGGATTAGTATTATCTCTTGATTGTTATACAACCTGAACGATAATGGGAATCTTCTGGAAAATAATTAATTCGGATATAGTTTGTATCACAAGCCGGCTTTAGTTAGACAACTGTTAAAAACCATTGTGACGGAGGGTAGCTGTCTTGTCTTAGAATGAAATTCCATTCACGACATTACCTCAAATGGAACTCAGGACCAACAGACTTCGTTACTTGTCGATTACCTTATAGGTACTAAGCACCAAACGATACATATTTCCACAATATTATATAGCCATCATCCACTCCAATCATTAATAACTATCTCATTCTTATCAACGACTAACAAAACGTTCCATTGAATAACATGAGTAGCTGTAATAATTTACAGCCGTCTAGTGACTTTTATTTTAGTAGTATATATTTCAGTAGTATATCGAGTTTCATAAATCATGTAGATAAAGGTCGATCGAAAAATAAGTTCTTGTACTTTTCTTCTTTTCCAAAATATGCCAATTCTCTGAAACAACAGTCCAGGCTATCGTTCTATATGATAATGATAATAGTATCAAATATTATTATTGACATTAAAACGATCGAAATTCCAACCTTACACCGTTTTCACGAACTAACCAACTTAATTTTTAAACATACGTGAGTGATGTTTCCACTAATCAATGTCAACTGAAGAACGGATGGGAACTAAGAAATACTGTTTCATCCTTGTATAGTTTTTCTCCGTAGCGCTCCGCATGCTTGAGTAGTCATGGTTGGTTAAATTAAACGATGTCGGTGGTGAAGCGGTTACTAACTAACGGTATTGACTGATCATTGCATTATATTTCAAGTTGATTGAATTCGAAAATTTGGATCACTGAATTCCTAGTCGCGTTCTAAAAGTAACGTTTTCCTCCACACAACTTGTAGGTCCAGGTTTTGATCTATGAAGTTTAATGAAAATTTTCAGTTGTTCCAATAATGATCACAACTTCACTAAGCCAGTAGGTAAAGAGATTGTGAAAATCGAAAAATTTTTAACACAAAAAATAATAAAGATTTAGAGGGCATGATCACTTTAAAAGATTACTAATCTTTCAGAGGTTTATAATCGATTTTCCATATCTTTCAGAAAACTATTTTGCTCTACAGAGTCATCTTCATTCAAGTGAAGAGTTTTAATTGAATCTTTTATCAGGTCATAGACTCTCCTATATTCCCAGAAAACATTTCTCAGTTTTTTATAACATTTTTAAAAAGGTTAGCCAAGTATTTAATGAAGTGAATTTCTAAGATCAAAATCCAAATCCTGTCAATCATTTATATGGTACAATGGTGTTTATTATATTCCATACATCTATAAAGGCATGATTTAGTTGTTAAAATTATTTTGAATGAAGAAATAAACTCGAGTTTATTAGAATATATTTTAGAGGGAATCTGTGCCAGATTAAGTAGGCTCAACTTTTGAGTTCCCTCTCATGTCGTATTTCTTTTTGTTGTATGACTGAACAGTAGATTTTTTTCTACTAATCTTATTTAATCTAAGTACTATTGTGTTGTGCGCTACTTATGCGAACAGATAGAAGTAGTATGTATCAAGAACTGAAAGTAGGATTATTACCGACAAAAGAGAAAAATGAATGGAAAAGAACCGAGAGCAAAAGCAATCGGAGTAGCAGTAGAAATAAAAGAATGATGGAGTTTGTAAGAAACAATTCAAGATGGTCAAATGATGTATTCAATTCATTACTTTTATATTTTGTAAACGCAGTGCGTAATTTCGCACAATACAATAAATTCGTTTATCCTATCCTAGTCTTCGTCTGTTAAACGATACACACATACCTTGCCACAAAGACCTTAATAACATGTCCGCTAGCATTGCTTTTTAAAATTTCTAGCAAAACAGCTGATAGTTGCTTACTTGATTCTGATTAGATCATTTTCACCACAAATGTTGGCTGATATTCCAAACTAGGATAAGATAATTGTAATTTTTTTATAATTATCCATAATTTTGAAAATGATAGCAATGCTTAATAAAATGCAGTTACGCTTTAAATAAATTTCCACTAAACTCTCAGTCAGAAATGTATCAAAAGATAGTAACATCCGAAGTCTAACGATCAAACCATCGCTTGAACATTAAAATAGACAACCATATAATAATAATAATAGTAATAATAATAGTCATGGTAGTATTTTTTCACTAACCTTATCTGTAGGCAATATGTTATTGCGTAAACATGTTGAACTTTCCCCTAGAAATAATAATTCATACCTACGATTATAACTGTCATTATTACCATCATTGTCTAAACTGTTGTTGGTGTTATTATTATTCTCATTCAAATTTGCATTAAACAATAATAAATCTTCATATGGTTGTGTTCGCTTAGATGTTGACGATGATTGTTTTTTCAGCGAATATGCACGTCTTAATTTTGGTTTATTGCTTGTATGCAAAGGTTCAGATATATTGTTATTACTCTTATGTTTACATGTATCATTTATTGTTGACGTTGTGGTTATTGTTCCTGGAATATGATTGTCTTGATATGATATATCTTTTTTCAAACTTGCACAACATGCTCCTGATACTGTGGTTGTTGTTGATGTTGTTGTTGAACATTTCAATGAAATTAAAGAGAAATTATTGTTTAAAGAATCAATTGGTGGATTCGATGAAAAATTATATTCATCTATAGGATAAGCTGTAGCTTTCATAACAAATACATGTCCAACTGTTTGAGGTGTTGCCAAATCATTCAAATCTAATGAATATCTAAAGGTTACATAAAGAAATATTTAATAAATATTTAGTTATGTATGTAAATAATAAGTATGATTGAGCAATTGATAAGTTTAGAATTATCATACCTATACAGTACATTTATCAATATATATATATACTCCTAAGATTTCCATTATTCACATGCGGTAGTGTATATGTATGAGTGTGTGAATTGTTGTTTCATTTACAAGTGTTATCCAGGCATTTTGTCCATTTCAATCATAAATACATTAATAAATTACAATATTGTAATGAATAAATGACAATTTGAAAGTGATTGGACTGAGTTAATAAGAAAATGTTAATGTATATTACAATAATAATAATAATAATAAATCGAAAATATTAGCAATTTTTTACTTTAAATTCAATGTTATAATTTAATTGATTTTTAGTTATAGTTAATATTTACACAGTGATCTAATGTTAATCGTTTAAAGATCCCCGTCAAATTTTTCAGTAGTTTATATCATAGATAAGTTTATAAAAGTTAATTTGGAAAACATTAATATTCCTTTCTCTATTGTTTTGTCTATATAAGCACAATAGTGTTATTAGGGGCATTGGATCGGTATTCAATAGTTACTTTAATCTAACCTGTCCAATATTTTTTAAAATAATAAATCATTCTGTTGTAGTGATACTAGTCGTTGGATGGAGAATGCTGGTGAGAGGCCTATGCTCCTTCACGAGGATTAACAGGCATAAGTAAGTAAGTAAGTCAGTAAATGATACTAGCCCTTAACGAAAATTGTTTACAATGTAAATTTAATGTAAAAAAGGAAACTATACAATTAAATATTATCATGAATAAACAATATTTTCATTGATTTGTAACTTCAAGATTATGCTTATAACAACCTTAACTCAAATTATTGATCGATTTTTATTCCTGTAACACCTAGTCTCATATTAGAATATCATAAAGAAAATTAAGTATGGTATAGTAAGTTTAAAAATGAAACACGATACTTATGAGTTTTGAAAAAAATATCTACCGTCGTACCCGAATTTCCATCTGATCAACCGTTTTTTGCAAGATAAACTTACAATAAAACTTTACAAGTTAAATAATAGTTTCTTTTATTCCATACTAAGTTTTATATCTCCATATTTATTTTGATCACACAGATATCTAATATGTAAAATATTATGGTTTCAAACGGGTTCGAACTCTACTTCGTCTACTTTCATTCTCTCAGTCATATAAATAGTTGGACACAAATTCGAATATATACACATGTGACTGGTTAACATGCTAGATTAAAAAAGACTAATCGTTTCTAGATATTCTTCACTCAAATTTGGGAACGTTTTGATTGTATGCACTCTGAATCCTGTTCATAACCACATACAAAATCTTAATTTCTTATGGTAAGTGGTCTATTTGTTAGCAGAATCTAACGGTTTATATTTTTTGGCTTGACTTATGTCCTGACATGTCATAAATATTTGTCAATATGGTCGATAATTACTTATTTATACTTCAACGAAAATCCAGCTGGACAAGTCGTAAAAACTGACAGTCCGAATTTTACTCGAGTGAAAATCTATTAGTCAAACTATGGATGTTTCATTTTCTGTACCACTCATCAAGTGAGTGTTCCTGAATTCACGCTGATTTTTACGATGAAACTTAAACTCACTACCTATCTCTAAACAATAATAACACGAGATTATGGAGTCTCGATAGTCAGTAACATATTCTATGATGATGAAAAGTGATAAGTTCTTTTAATAGTTACATGTAATATCCACTAAAGTTTGCTGAATGGAGCTGATTGGCCAAATGTATTCTGGAGAATTCTTTACTTTCATAGTATTCATGGCAGGCTTCGTAACAAATAATAACACTCTATAAACTTCAGAACCGATGAAAATTTCGTCATTCAATTCAACATCACTTCAACGGACATTATGTTATAAACTGTTGGTCTGTAAAAATAAATAACTTGTCATAGTTATGACAAAAACCGAATAATAGATGTTGAACTAAACTAGTAAAAGATATAACTAACCTTGTATTTTTATAGCCTCCTATTTCTTGATCTATTAATGCATCGTAATCCGATAATGTTTTGTCGATATTACCAGTTTCTTCACCATTAAACTGTAATTTATCATCTCTATTATCATTACTATCATAATAGTTAAAACTAGTGTCAACTCTTAGCTCGTTATTCAAACATCCACTTGAATAAATTGGATTAGTTGCAGTGTCTTGGTAATTCACGGTATCATTATAATGATTAGTATTTACAATACGTGTAAAGTAATTTGGAAGTTTTAAATCGTCGCATATACTACCAGCACAGTTTTTAGTAGTATGACTAGTATTACTTGTTGTATGTACAATGGGATTACACTTCATAGCACTAGTGGTTGAATTCCCTACACTATCATTTACCAGATTCATGCATACAGGCTGTATGGTTGTTTGGTGAGTCTTAAGTACAAATTGTTTATCATATGCATCTGATGTCAAATGGGATCTGTCTGATGGTAATGAGATTTGATGTTTTAACTGACGCTTTTTATCTTGTGAGTTGACAATTTCAAGTGGAAAGTTTAAATCATGATACTCAGTGTTACCTTTACTACGAGTACTTGTTTTTGTTGGTTCACATGATGTGCTGTTTAAATGAAAAGCTGAAGTGAATAATTTTCCCTGTTGTGATTGATTATTAGTGTCGGTATTTGCAGCAGCAGTAGTGGTGGTAATGATGATGGAAGTATTAACCCCGGTGAATGTATTGGTTATGTTCATAGGATGTTTTGTATTTTGGTTCGGATCCCATGAACGCCATGCCTGTGTCTCAACAGTTTGAACTGGATTTGAAGACTTAGCTTGCAAAAGAGTATCCCAAAATTCGTTTTCAGCTCCTTCATATACCTGGAAGTTATATGAACATATGTGTTAAAGAGGTGGATTTCATAAGGTAAATCAATATGTAGATTAATAGAAAAGTGAAGAGATCTAAAACGTTACGTAGGATTGTATGAAGATAGTCAAGTAAACTGTATAACTGATGCTTACTAAAGTTTTCTATATTACGTACGGTTTAATTTCAGAGCTTTCTTTGTCACTCTGGACGCTGTTGCCAGCTTATACTTCGTGGAGAAGTAAGCTCTCCAATTATTCTACAAGCACTAAGTCAGTTTATGTTAACGAATTCGTCTCAGGTTAGTTGTCATGGTAGGTTTTACTGTCGTTTTTAATCAGTGCACTCCCGCTGGTTGCTTAGTTCATTTAACCTTTGACCATTTGACCAGTTGACCATTTCTACATAGAGTGATCTGTATCGAATTTTCGGTTGATTTCAGTCAACGACGTTACGAGGAAGGTTATATGAAGCTGGTAAAACCTGCGAAGACAACCAGTCAAAAGCAAGGTCACCAAAAAGGACTAACTTACTGCTTGTCTAATAGTCAAGAGTGACGAATTCTACTTAAAGTTGAGCCTCATGATGCTGTTCAGGATGAAAATGAAGGGTTCACAATTAAACCAACTGAGAAAACGAGACACCACCGGAAAGATTTTACGTGACCTAAAAATTGTCTCGATCATATGAAAACCATGAAGTTTATCGCTTCTGTTAACAATTACGTCGATAAAACAATTATGCTAACGTTCTGTAAACGAAGCATGTTTCCTGTTATCCAGTCTATTACCGGTTGGATGTTGATCAACTATATTAAGAGTAGAAAATTTTCTAAGCTTTAACTGATTAAAGAATAAACAAGCTGTCGGTATTTAATCAGTCCATAAAACCCCCCAATCTCCCAAGTTTGGGGAAACCATCAAAGTCAAATGACCTTCACCAAGGTTTAAGGGAGATTTGGGGGAAATATTGAGGATTTGGGGAAATGGCACCAAAACCTCAAAATTTCCCCGAAATGGGTCAAGTTTTCACCAAAATTTGAAGATTGGGTCATTATAATTCCTTATTGTTTTGTTATTTATTTAGTTAATTACAACCGTAAGTTTAAGTTTATTCCCTACACGATTCGCAACTCTACATGTCCTTCATTTACTCATGATTAACGAAACTTTGCTCTTGTTGGTTGGTTGGGTTTTTCATGGCTATCTTCTCCTTCTCCTATTTCCACTAATCTTCTTTGATATTACAAGTAAATTTTATACTCGAAATCATTTTTTCAGATTTGTTGAGGGCCAGTAAAGAGTGAAAAATATTCATATTATTAAGTTGTACCACAGGTACAAGTCAGCCAGTCAAAAGAAACGTAACATCTAACAATATATGTGCATTGGTATAAGCACGCACATAACGTCAGTACAGTGAGATGAACACCAATATGGCACTAATGTCAGTGATAGTAAAAAGGTATCACATTATTTCAAAACACAGAACCTAATAGAAGGTAAAGATTGTACGAATCTGCTCCATGTTACACAGCATCTCCAACCACTATTCACGATAATCATATGAATCCACACGACATACTCTTTATATAAAAACACAGCTTAGATTAACAACTATAAATATGTTCAAGTCATTAAATAGAAAATTGTAGAAGAAAACCTGCATAGCAAATACCAGTAAATTCATATTCATATTGTATGTAGTAAACTTTTCTTGTAAATTAATCACTTTTTCAAACCGTCATTCTGCGCGACGGTAAATTCGTGGTAATAAGATCAAATTTAGTCAATTATACTATAATTATTATGATACGACACATTTTTACTGAATTTAGGTAACTAATAGCAGTCTATTTCACTTTTCCAAAAATGAATTCTAACCCTTACTAATAACCATTCATAAATATCTGGCTATTTGAATTCGGTAGCTCAATGGATAGCATGCTGTGAGTTCGGAGCAAAGGGTATTGGGTTCGAGTCCCTAAGTGAACATAAACACTAGGATGCAAATGCGCCTATCTGAAGATTCCATATCAAGACAAAGTGAGTGTTCTGAATCCCACTACTGCCAATAATCCATCTTTTCTATATTGAACCACATTTAGTCATGTGGAATTATGATCCCTGGCACTTAAATACTTAACGTAGAATTAATTGTAATGTTTAACTTTCGAATTGAGGAAAATATAAGCAATTGACTGATTGAGCTTTGTAACAAATGTTTATTTATTTCTATTACTTGTTCAAATTTATTAGAAACTAATTATATAAAGCTAATATCATTGAAAAAAGAAAGGGTGGTTTGCAAAAAAGTGTGTAATAGTTTGTAACCAGCTACTGGACATTCTATTATTGACTGTAATGAAATATTGTGTTTTACTTTTTCATACCTGTTGACGTATATCTTGATGCAGTTTTTATGTAATTATGCGTTAATATGAAAATATACGGGAGAGAGATCACGGACGTGTTCCGGATAAACAAATTGATCGACACTCTAATTGAAAGATGAAATGGACAATTTTACTATTTATCAGAAAAACCTTTCCTCCACAAACAGTCACCTTAATATAAATGCTTAACACTGAAACTCTTTAAAACAATTTTTTGAATTGGATATGTTGGAAAATCTTTTTATTATCTTTCTGTGATTTTTTTGGTTGAAACTATAAAATTTTGTCCATTGTGACGTCAGAAAAATATTTGGTAAGAGTATAACCATGACCACAACAGATAGATGTTAAAACAAACGAAAGAACATCAGAGATAACTGTTTCATCCAAAACATTATATTTCTGTGGTTTATATCTAACGTTTGTCGACCAACCTTATTACTCAAGTGTTCAAAATAAATTAGTTAGTATGAGATTCAAATGAATATACTAGTTGTTGGGTGGTTAGAAGTGATCGATATGAAATTCTAAAACTGGGTGTCTTGCTCTCTGTTACTTTTCATGAAAATAAACCTCCAGCTTTTGGCTAGTTCATGTTACTTGCATGATCTGAACCCTAGTTACCTTGATTCATAGTCCAAGACATTACTGAATCCCCCTCTAAGACTCATCTTTGAATTGATTAATCAGTGAGTAGTAATTAATGTAATGTTTGTCTTGAAATGTCCTACAGCAATACACCCAGTGCATTAAGTAGTTTACTATGCACATGCACCAGCATTTGTCTAACAGCTATTGCAAGAGGGTTGGTAATACCTTTGACTTACCGCAGTATGGTAAATGAAGCAGTGTTCAGACCGAAAATAGAAGTCATATATTCGAGTCAGTTTCTCTTCAATCTATATAAACATACTAACACATGTGGTATTTAGCTATATCTAATGCTTAAAGCGTAAAGATGTTACAAGACTGATTAAACTTAAGGAATTACATCAATGAAGCTCACTGATTATCCAATGAAGTTTTGCCTGATCATCTAACTAATGTCCTGTAATAAGATTGAATAAACTTGATTGGCTTTATTGTATTCTGTCAATTTCATATGATTAGTGATATTTGAATTAGTGGCACATTGGATTTTTATTCAACTTTCGATAGTTTTGATAAGTGGTTTCCGTGAAACATTTTGCTTGGAATATGACAGTGTGATCATTGAACAAAGAAGAAATTTAAGCAAAACTAACAAGTTGACTGAAAAGTTGACAGTTTACATTTAAAAAAGTTGGTATAAATTATTATGGTAAATTTATACGTTAATTTATTAATAGAAATGTACTATTATAACACTATTTAGCAACAGTACATACTAAAGATAGGATTCGTGAAGCTCTATGCAGGTTCATATCATTATTTGAAAGCATTTGAATAATCCTGTTGTTTATATTCTTCATTGAATTTCGGGTCAGTTTCTGTTGGAATACACATATTCTAAACAAATAGTTTCAACATAAACACTTTTTTAACGAGTTTTTTGTAGAATGCATACTGTGACAGTCAATACAGGGGCGTATTTACTCCCAGTTGATGGGTCCCAGGTAGGACGAAACGCACTTTTTGAGTTTCACCGCTAACCAGAATCCATTTATACATATTTATTCACCGAATATTAAAATGTCAAATGATATAATTCCTGGTAATCATATGTTTATTATGAAGAATCGCAAAAAATGAAATAATTTCAATCCTACGACTGTTTAGTCTATCGTAATGAGAACAAGCCATTACTTATTCTAAATATTATCAGTTCTACGTTATTAATAAGTAAAGTGTGAAAACTCTACAGTAAATATATTATTTGTTAGTTATTATTAGAAACTGTATTATTTCTAGTCCACTTGAGGATTATATATTCAGACAACGTACTTCTTTGTGTGTGTATATGTGAGTATATAGACGACGTCTATAAGCGCAAATAAAACTTTCAAAGTGAAACATATCACCACATTTTAGTTCACTATAAGGATATACTTACACGCAAATACAGATCCACCTTTAGATCATCTAAACAGTTATTTAAAATCACTGATGTATCTGCTTACTTTACCAGTCAAGTCAAGATTTCGACAATTAATATGAGGAATGCAGACGGAGTTCACGTGATCTAAGTGGGAGATACAAAATGGTCCAGACTAGTTGTTTCACTTTGATTGTTATTTATGAACGCAGTTTCCTAAAAACTTCAACTATTTCATCGAGGTGAACACTGCTTCCTACCTAGTAGATTGAGAAACGTTTTAGGCTCCAAGACCGCATACTTTTGTTGTTAATATGATTTCCGATTACAACAAATGCACAAATTGATATATCAGGTTGAAGAATGGTTCTTTAAACGATCAACCTGAAACTTTCTGTCCAAATGAGAAGAATAGGATGGTGATTAGCAGCGGAATCTAGGGTGCGCGTTTCATCTCGTTTGGGACTCATCAGCTGGGTGTACCTGTTCCGCGTAGTTGACATTTACTCTGGAATTCGAACCTAGTACCGTACTTTTCAAACTCTGTCGCGTTGTCCACTTAGTTACTGAGACCAGATAATCACTGGCTTATGAAATGGGATGAGATTTAATCCGTTTGTATTGATTGTTTAAATCTTCTTATTGAGGTTTAGTACATGAATTAAAATCCTGAATATCAATATGAGGATTTAAACAACCAATACAAATAAATTTTTCCTAAGTGTTTAAGGTCTGCTGTTTAAATTAATGACAGACTTGTATATTGAACTATTGATCATATTGAGCTCATTAAATATGATGGTTTTATAATAATGGAATTCTGTGAAGATTGTTTAATCTGGAGTTGATCTCAATACAAACTAACATCAGTTAAGAAGAAACCTAATGGATACTTGGGAAGCGTTATATAGTTGTATACATCCTAGTTCATCACGCCTAAGAAATAGACACATCTACAGGGATCTAACCAAAGATCCTTATATTTCATCACGAACACTGTACCGCCAGACTAATGAGTTAGTCCATATTTTCAAAATCGATAAATTTGTAGTATTGGACAACAGTCATTAAAAAAAATCGGTAATATTTGTCTCACTCCCAAAATCTGTAAACTACCTTAACTTTCTACAGGAACTTCAGGTAAACTAGCGTTCACTTTCAAACTTCAAGGTTTTAACTTTGAGCTCGTATTGTGTAGTGATTGCATATCACCTAATAATTTTAAACTGAACTATAGTATTCACTTGGTATTGTTTTGCTTGTATCTTCCCATTAAGGTTTAAGACTGCAATTGACCAGTCTGTTATTGGCATATGTGCATACTGTGCGTGTGCCTCGATATTGCCTCAATTCATAATCTATTTAATTACATTTTATGACCGGGAAACCCAGGACAGAGTTTGATGGGGAATCCTGATGGGCGACCTATACTCCTCAACGAGGGGTAACAGGCGTAAGTAAGTGAGTAAGTATGACCGAAAATTCTAATTGCACCAATATATATATATATATATATATATATATATATATATATATATATATATATATATATATATTCCTTTTAAAAGACCATGACTTACCCCATTTTGATGACGTCGATTTTGATTTAATCGAAGAGAAGAACATTCAATTGATTCATTGATTTTATTAGTTTTATTTAAAGGCGATATTTTCTGAATAGTTGTAGTAATTATGGGAACATTTGAAGAAGACGATGATGATGGTGATAGAATATTTGTAATCTGTTGACAAGAATGTTTTTCTAATGACATTCGATCTACTTTGCTATTATTATCATTCGTTTTGTGTAAATAATTATTTCTAAAATCTAATCTTTGTTTCATTGTTTTAAATAAATTATCTGCATGATTAATTTTATTATTATTATTGATATTTATGGGTTTCTCAATTTCTTTATGTTTTAATTTTGTTTCATAATGATGTTGTGTTGAACGATCATTTACTGAACTTGCTCTCGGGCGTACACGTGGTGTTATTGTCGTTGTTGTCAGCTTATGATCTTTCTTATTACAAATGATATTCATTTGTCTCCAACGTGGATATTCTCGTGTCTGTTGTTGTGATATCTGATTAACTGACATATTACTATCTTGTTGATTTCTTAATTTGGATGATTTCATTGAATTTTTTGAAGTAAACAATTGTGAATTAGGAAGGAATGGATTTTTCAAAGATGGTTTATAGTCAACATTCCAATTATTGATTGATTTCCAAAAGTCTGTCGAATATTGAATTATAAGAATTGTGGTTTATTATTTTATTCACTTTTTTAGAACGATAAGTAATTTTTATCAATGCATTTGTAAACAATTTCAGTAAACTGAATAATAGAATGCATAGACATAAATTAGCATTTCCACTCTGGAGAAGGAGATAAAATCGTTTCAAGTCGGTTGCGAAAATGAACTTAACCCAATCAATATCTGACATTATAACCAGCCCATTACTATGCATGTGACCTTTCGAAGATTAACTATCTGTATGTTACGTAAAGGGAAAATATAGCCGCGATGTTTTAAAACACACACCTGCTACTGTTTTGTAGGTGTGTATGTGCATGTATGATAAAACTGTGATTCATTATTGCATTTCAAACCTATTTCTTTTTGTGTATCCATGACTCATTTATGCATACAGCTTTAGGTATGCATCGTCCTTCCTCCCCTTTATCTAATAAACTGTTTGGAATTAGTGATAGTCAAACAATAAAGGAGAGCCAATCCATTACCGAAGAATTGATTTTTTTTATTAGAGGGAAATCAAACTTTTTCGAGCAAAGCAATTAAATGGGATTGCAAAGTTCTATGAAAACATACTTGTTTATTTACCTTAGTGTGTGTAATGATGATTATCAGATCATATGTTGAATGAAGTGAATGTCTACACCTTACTGGCACACAAACAAACAACAGATAGTTAAGGACACACAAACACATGTGTATACTTAAATAAATTAACATGTCATAATAAACTAATTAATAATCCAATGAAAATTTTCGATTTGAAAGAGGGAAATATACAATTAACTCCTCTTGCGACCCACCTGGGGTTACTGCCGTTCGTAAATCTGAGTAGAAGAGATGGATTAATAAATCCCCACGAATATGACGTAGCAAAAACTGCGATGGAAAGTCTAAGACATAGTGACTTGGATATACTTAATCATCGACCTATACTCTGAGAGATACTAGGGCTAAGTAATATATATATAATATGTAGTAAATATAATTTCTATGTTCACAATATCCTATTTATCACCAGTTACATCTTTAAGTCAAACAATATGTTCTTTGTATAATTTTACATTTAAGTGATTTTGAAGATAACTAAGATATATATTTTTAAAATAACATATACTACTATTACTTAACTTGTACATTCACTCATTCCTTTATTCAAAATTGGAATGTTTCTTCACATTTCAATGTTAGCTTTGATTAGGAACAGATATAAATAGAAGAACCATTGAGAATTAAATTATAGGGAGATGGATAGTTTTCTCATATCATATCCAGTCAAACTGAAGAATAAACTTCATAATCAATCACCTGATAACTATTTTTTTTAGAAAAAATTTGTGATTGCGCAACTATAATTATTTTAGATCAGTCCTAGCAATTAGACTTAGTAAAATAAAATTTGAACAATACAACTAATGTAGTCCTTCTTTAAAAATATATGAAAATCGATACCAGTTGTATGAGAAATGATGATTTGTGAATCAAAAGGAATAATATATGTCTTTCAGATGAATGACTTAGTTGCCAAGTTTTAATCGGCCTTTCTGTACAACATCATCATTAATGGTGGGAAAAAATGAAATGTTTACGATTATACGTTTCGGTTCAAATAAATACAACATTACCAAAAGCTTAATTACCTACATCTGATTTCAACTATATCTTATGTACGAGCAGTACTATAGTACTACTATAGTAATAGTACTATAGTAAATTTAAGTAAAATTTTCTATCCATTGCCAAGTTATTTGGTATACTTGTTAAATTTGTTTCATTTTGTTTAATAGAATAAATAAATGAACACAATTTATGGTACATTTATTTATTTTGCTGTTGCATAAATGTTTGTGTCTAGATTTTCAGTAATCAAAAATTCACTACAATAAATTATCTCAATAAAGGTACTTTGAGAAATAAGAAACGGAATTCTACTGATAATATTCAAATTGTTAGTCGATGAAAATTAAGTTTATTCTACAAGCTGTTTTAACCATCACTAAACTAGTGGTTTGCACTAAAAGGTGGTATCAGAAGTGAAGTTTGTTTTGCCTAAACATCACAATTGATGTACAATTGATAAAAAATTATGTACATAATTATATGTACAACTGAAAAGTTTAAATCATAGGAAGAAAAGGTTCACTTGACTAATGTTACAATATTTCTATGCATTTCTATACTTGTTTATTGACTTACGCTCGTTAACTCTTGTGGAGCATAGACCAACAACCAGGAATCTCCAGCCTTCTCTGTCCTGAACTCTCCATTCCAGTTATTCGTAAGTCATTTTGGTCGTTTTGATATTTACCTCCGATTCGAAACACAGTGTATTCTGGAGCCAGCAATTTTTCCTCTTCCTTTGAAAATTACAAGTTAGGGATTGATTTGTGATACAGTTTAACGATTTTTGCAGTGTTTCCCATCCACCTGCAGAGTCAAATATTCATTTCCTCTTCAATTGAAATCTGGTTTATTTGCTGTTACAATAGGTGTTTAGCCAATGATTCTGGAGTATCTTGCGTAGGTAACTATTAATAAACACTTATACCTTTTTGATGATGGTTGTAGCAATTCCCCAAGTTTCAGCTACTTACGACAGAACTATATTGACGTTTGTATTGAAGATTCTGATTTTGAAGTTGGCCGACAGTTGTTGTAAGTTCCACATGTTCTTTAATTGTTGGAGTGCTGCCTTTACTTTGCCAATCTGTGCCTTCTCATCTTCATCAGATCCTTCTTATGTATCCGTGGTACTGTCCAGGTACGTGAAGGTCTCCACATCTTCCAGAACTTATCCACCATATGTGATTAGGTTTGTGCTCGTTGTATTACATTTCACGATCTTGCATTTTCTCTTGTGTATGTTGACGTCTACTGCTGCAGAGGCTGTTGCTACACTAGTTGTCTTCACTTATATTTGTTAGTGTGTATGGAGTAAAAGAGCTAGATCATATGCGAAATCCAAATCGTCTAGTTGTATTCAAACTGTCCACTGTATTCCATGCATTTCCTGAGATGTGAAAGTTATTTCTACACACTATGTTTTATTTACAGGATTTCATTTATGACTATTCGTTTACAACTTCTTGACATCGAAATCTTTTGTTAACACCGAAAATATTTAAACTTTCTATTCCTTTTTGAAAACATGGACAACATATTTTTTTGTTTATGATGATAATATTGAATTAGAGGATATCTTACACACCCTTAACTCATACCACCATTCCATAGACTTCACGTTAGAATATGAGCGAGACCAATATATCTTAAAATTATGATAAACTACAATAGTTCGAAACTTAAACAAAATGAGAATTTTCTTAATTTCCAACTCTCTCTATAATCCAACACCAAGGTCAGAATTTTCAATACAAATGTCAAGACAGTTCTACTGTATGGGGCAGAAACCTGGAGAACTACGAAAGCCATCATCCAGAAGATACAAGTGTTTATTAATAACTGTTTACGCAAACTACTTCGGATCCGTTGGACAGACACTATCAGCAACAACCTAATGTGGGAGAGAACAAACCAGATCCCAGAGGAGGAAGAAATCGGGAAGAAGCTCTGGAAGTGGATAGGACACACATTGAAAAAGTACCCAACTGTGTCACAAGGCAAGCCCTCACTTGGAATCCACAAGGCCAAAGGAAAAGAGGATGACCAAAGAACACATTATGTCGAGAAATGGAGACAGATATGAAAAAAAATTAACAAAAATTGGACAGAACTGGAATGGAAGGCTCAGGATAGAGTAGGTTAGAGAATACTGGTCGGCGGTCTATGTTCCATTGGAAGTAACAGGCGTGAGTAAGTAAGTAAGTTTCTATCATCCAATTTTTCAGTGTTACCAATTTAATCAATGTATTCATAAAACAAGAATTTATACAGATAAATGTAATTTTATTTCTTAAATAATTCAGTATGTAAATTAGTTAAATTCTCAGTTTCATATTAATTAACATATAATATCACACTTTCTTTTTTCGAAATTAACTAAATAGTGTTTGCATGTTGATTTGAAGGTGATAACATATGCTCAATTAATTTACTTTAAATCAGTTAATACTATGCCAGAATTTGTTTTATCTTATTCAGAAAGTTATTTCTCACAACTTTTTTCTTTTCTTTTCTTTTTTTTTGATTTAAAAATGATTGTAACAGGATCACAAATGAATTTATAATTTATATATAGTTTATCTTTCTGATATTAATTTTTATCATATCCCAGAGTAAGGTACATTTTCGTGGAAATTGTAGACAAACGTTATTGATAAGCGTTAGAAAGCATATTATTTAGGTCATGAGCTTCTACTAGACTAACTCTGTTGCTGTTAGTATCCAAAAAATATGTGTCAGTAATTCAGCCATCATTAATGAATACACTACTTCACCCTAACCACAATATCCACGATGAATTAAACTTAGTTGAAGTTATTTAAGAATTTAAACCTCTAATCAATGTGACCTGGATCAGTATGAAAAATAATTGTAAAATAAATTTTCATCTACGCGCTTTCTTCTCCTTCTCATTGTCTGGTTATATACCTGCTTGCTTACGGTTTCCCGAAATAGAAGAACGACTAGTGTATGGCGGAAACTCAATCGCTCATCCAACAGTTATTGATTGACAGTATGAGTCAAATTAAAGAAAACATCTTTCCCTCATTATCCGCACCCTTCAACAGCTTGATAACTAACAAATACTACTACAATACCAATTCACTTAAACTAGTGATCGTATTTCAATGAGATCTATAGAATTTAATGGCGAGACTATAATTTACGGACGAACCAATCAGATTTAGAATAACACGACTTAGATTTTGGCACGAACTTCAGTCATTCACTTGGCTAAATAGCGTTTTGGTATTAGAGCTGATATCAGTTCCTGATGAAAACTATAAATCTAATTCTTAACTCCAACCATCAACTGTAAATTTTAATCCTTATTCTCCAAACTGCTTTATAACCC